ATTGACGGAATGCATTAACGATTGCATAAATGAATGATGGAAACTAAATCAGTATCATGAATTTTCAACTAATTTACTAATTATCGTTTTATGAATGCAATGTCACTTATTCATCTTGAGTAATTAACCGAGATCAAATAACTTAAGTTTGGATAATAAAATATTAAAATAGTTATGGGTTGACTTTTTTTTACAAACAGTCACCATGATTTATGTGACTGGTATCATTAGAAATTGAGCACCAAGTAGTTAGAATAAGTAGGCATTAATTGTATTCCAAATCAGTAAGTGAAAGTTGTAAAAATATCATCTAGGTTTAATGATGAAACTATATTTTAGCTTCGCAATTATATCTTGCTTCATTTTGTAATATAACTAAACTTGTAAGCTGATGGTTAAAAGTAGTCGACAGGAAAACCTGGATCTCAGTTTCGCGCTTTTTGGCACTCGTCAGTAAGATGTTTCTGCAATCTAGGTGGAACGGATTCTCCCTGGTAGATGGGATTCCGTGTTTCTGATCGTGAAGCTGGATCAATTATAATGTCGAGTCACTAAAACTAGTGGTCTGATTGCTGCATGATCAATAGAATTCGATCGATACTAAGATTAAAATGACAAACATGACATTGGTCACTACATAATGAATAGTCAATTGTAAATATATCTAAATATAAATGCAATGAGTCTTTTCACAAAAAGTGTCCATCGCTAACTGAATTCCTCTTCTTTGAGTTATGAACTTACTCAAAAGTGGAAGTCCTTTTTAGTTATCAAGTTAATAGTAAAAAATATTATTAATTCAGTAAAAAGATACTAATAATTTGATATGACCTTGTGGTTTGCTATACTTGAATCAATAATCCTAATCCCTAAAATAAATGATCTGACAGATTTCTTGTCCAAAACCGTAATCATAAGACAAGAATGAAACGGTTGATCTAACTTCTGTATAATTGATCCAAAAATTCATATGATTAGATTCGTGAATCACAGGACTACAACGTCTGATAAATAAGAAATTACAATATATGCCAAGTTAGCGCATTTAGGATACAAGTCAGAATATTAGGCTTATGATACATTTTTAGTAATTTGAGAATGGGAAAAGACATGACAACAGTTTATAAATCATACGAAAGCATCTGACTAACAAACTTAAGAAATCACAAATAAACTAATTGTTTAGAAAACAAACATTGAGAAGTATAATTACTGATATTTAAATAAATCGCTTTCAAAATGAATCTTTCTCTTTCATAAGTAACAAAAACAAAATAATAAAGATTAAACTTTTACGACCTCAAATTAATTGATTTTTTTACTAAAAATAGTTTTAGGTGAACTCGAGTGCTGGTTATATTGATATTCACGGTAACATGTGTGGATTAGGCTCTTAAGTATTCAGAAGCACTACTACTGTGGTGTATGCTACTTATGTCGACGGATACAAGTGGTATATAACATCAATCAGAAGTGAAATGCCTGGCAGCAGAAGGTTGAGAAGGTTGAATTGAAGAGAACAGGAACAGAGAGTAATTGTAATAGCAATGAATGACTGATCAAGTTTGAGATAATTGATGAATGATTTGCAAATCAATTATTTAATGTATAGTTTTCATATTTTACCAAATACTGATACTACTATTAATACCAATACTAAAACTTATCTCTAACTCATCCTTCGAGACGATATACAATTTATCGGAATGAAAATGAGAACTAGTACATCTGTTGTTATTCCAGTCAACAAAGAACTGAAAACACAATAAACAGTTAGATAAGCTAATTTTAACAAGTTTTAGCGATTTATTTTAAATTAAAAACTTAAAAAGAAAACCATCTAAAGTTTTTTAATACTTATGAATTATAAAAGAATGATACGTCACCGCTGCAGAATAAACAGACGTTTGTATATGTTCTATATATCAGATTTATAGTGCTATTCACTTAATGGCGAGACTTTAATTTATGGACGAGACAATCAGAGGCGTTTTAGGGATTTCAAGGTCATGGCGCTAACTTCAGTGCTTCATGCTAACGTACAATCGGTTCACAGGAAATTTTGTACAAAACTTGATAATTGAGCGGCTATAACAAATAAAACGGCGAGACTATAATTTGTGGACGAATCAATGAGATATATGATAACAGATCTCGGATTTTAACACGAAAGCCTTTCATCCATTTGGCTAAGTAAATTCCTGGCATTATAGCTGACTTCAGTTCGTGATGAAAACCCTATGTATAATTCCTAACTAAGGCAAATTATGACAATTATTGCGAACTGGATAAAAAAGCACCAGTAACACTGGCTGCAGCCAGGTACTACAATATATATGGATGTTTGGAGAGCGTACAGACTCCTACACAGGCTTGGTTATATGCATCGTGTCGTTATCCACAAGTGGTATTTTGTGTACTCAACAACCGGAGTGCACACAAGCAATATTGAAGCTATGTGGTCGAGGCCGAAAGAGTTTTCGAGACTTTATCATGGATCCAGAGGCCGACTATTCTGTAGCCGTACTGATGATTTCCTCTACTGCATGCATTACGATTTTAGAACCTGTGAACATTTTTCTAAAGTTGACAAATTTTTGAACTACGTATAAGAAGTTTATCTACTTTATTTCCTTGGTTTTGTATAACATATTTTTACTCTGTACTGACTGTTTGCTTATTGGCTAATATTTCTGAAGGTCGCTTAAGATTCGTTCAAAGGTCGTCCGTAAATTAGAGTCTCGCCCATTTAATTCCTTGAAGTTATTTCTAAGAATCTTATAGATGCAAAGATAAAAGTTTCTTTCTTATCAACAGAGTTTTAACCTAGTTGAACCTGCAATACATATCGTTTATTGTTTTATGAAACATTTTATTAGCAATACCTAAATGATGATTCAGTCATAAGCGGCTAAGATTATCTATATTCATTATGCATTAACTGTAGATTAATTTTACATTAAATAACATTTTATAGAATTAAGCTAACTAACTGCATATTTCTCATTTTGGTAGACATATTCATCAATCAAGTGAATATTATATTAAGCATTATAGAGAAAGTGATTAATAAAATCTGGTTAAACCTTATGAATTTTGCTAGTTTTCGTATACTGAACACATAAAAGGAGAATAAATGTTTTCAAAACAGGCTAGGATTTCTAATTCTCAATAAACTAATCAACAGAACTTCTATAGATCAGCATTACTTATGATATTGTCAATATAGTCGATTTTTCATTTTACTATGTGAATTATAGACAATCTACATGTTGGTTACCAATTTTCATTAAGATATTAAGTATCTATACAGAATTTCAAATAGTAAATAATATGGTCAGTGAAGTCATTCAACTGTAATTGATAAAGAATAAATTATAAAGAGTTTTGTAACGTAAAGGAAAGGATTTTTAAAACAAGAACAACAAATAGTCTAGTATGTCACACATTCACTTGATTCCCTGTGCTCTAAACCATTCACATAAGCAATAATTTTATAAATTCAATGTTCAACGAATGTAAACGTCAACAGATTTAAAAGATAAATCATCATGTAATTGTAGGTGTCATTACCAAGGTTTGATTTGATAATTTCGAATAAATTGAGCATTGGGTTGATTGTTATAAATAAAAATAATATATTTGTAATATCCCAATGAGTAGAAAATTGGATTTTCTGACGTTTCGTGACTTACACTAAGTCACGAAAATCCAATTTTCTACTCATTGGGATATTACAAATATATTATTTTTATCATCATGTAATTGTTCGAAATACGTTAGTTATAATTTGAAATTTACATTACTTCCTTCACTTCGAGTGTTTATTAATGTTCATTCTAGCTAAGAGAACATAGTAACACGTGGAATATATTTATTATATGTCTTAACAAGTAGAATGTTATGACTTATAATATTATGTAAATGACACACTCAACTTCCTACAAAAATCAACATCGTTAATACATATTATGTCACTTCTTCATGGATACGTTTATTTTTTCATGTTCAAGATGTTTCTACCTATATTAATCTGATGATTCTTATGACCTTCAAAGTGATCTCATTTTACACTAGTCTACAGAGTGTAAGCAAACTGATATCTAACTGAAACTACTTTTAGTTCAGATTACTAATCTTTAGATATCAGCTAACTCACGTTAACACTTTTCATTATTACACTCATAATAATGAATCAATACTGTTCCCTTATTCATCATCAGCTCAATCACTATAAATGTCAAATAGTTAGCTTTGGTATGAAATATGAAATAAATTCTGTAATACTGTGGATCATATTCACTTTCTAATAGATGAGTTAAGTATTTATATTTTATTATATCTGGCTATTAGTGGTATATCATTGTTACTAATGCTTTAACTGTAATATACCTAATCTTAGTCAGCAATAAGTCCCAATCACTGATCTGCCCCAAAATAATAAGAGTCCAAAGATAACCGTCCGAAATATAGACAGAAATCTACAAAATATGATATTTTTTATGATTCATCAATTATAGTTGCTATTTCTGTACAAAACAAAAAGATATGGGCATTCTGTAATTGACAGATACTCGAAATAATTACTTTATCAATGAAATGCAATAATCTTTGCGAAGATCCAAGCATTTCCAAAGTATTCACGCCAAACCATACAACAATATATAATTAGCATTAAGTTTATATGTATAGAATTTTTCGATTTGAATTCTCATTGACACTTCTGTATACACTGAAACAATTACCGTTTAACAGTTTCAGTAAAACAGTAACAAAATAAGAGACTTGAATATAATGTTTTTGTATTTTTTATCATGAGCCATCTCAATAAGATTTATTGAAAATTCAACAGAAAGCGCTATAAAAACCAATGCTAATATTACACAGCTCACTAGCAAATAAAAAAGGATGAATATAAGAAATGTGGAAAACAATCACACATTGCATATGAAAAAAGATAAATGTAAAATTTAATAGTAGACGAACAAAGTATCACACGATTATGAAGTTTCATATATCAACATTTCTTTCAATTTCATTGCTAAGTAATCAAATCGTTTCTCAATACGTCGACCAACTATGAAAATGCAATTAATAAATTATTACAACTTACTGATTTTGGCAACTTCAAGAAGTTTCTTATCTAAATCATCCTTTCTTGAGTAAGTATCATACATTCTCAAAATTTTACCCATCCCATTCATCATTGCTTGACGTAATGTACAGAGAACTGGTTTCTAAAACGACAGTGAATTATGAACATGGAAATCAAAGAGATTACCATCCCACGCTCCAATTCGTATTCATTTACCTTCTCTTCATGAGCTACCGCTGTATCACTGGAAATAAAGTGTTGAAAGTAAGCTTCTCGATTAAATTAATTCACCTATCAACATTCAGATACTAATACAATACATATGAAATACAATTGACGACACATAGGTTTAAATAAAATCTCATTACAAACCGACTATTTTTATTAAGAAATACCACAGAACACATCACAGAAGTACTTTGATTAAACTCGTTACCTCCATGCTTAATGCTAAATGGTGGTCAGCTGTCTTCCTAAGTAGCAAATAGTCGTAACCAGCTCGTAATGTTGTGTGAGATTGAATCAACAACACGATGTGTTTAAATGAACAGGGAAATTGACAAATATATCTTTAGGGAAACTGGAAGTCAAACCGCACCATATGATAACTGCATCACTATGGATGGGTAAGACTCAATACAGAAGAGCGAATGAAATGGAAAGAACTAATAGTGTTCAACTCACTTTATGTTTGCTGCGGAGATAAAGATACAGTATACCCAGACCAACAAAATGGCCAATTTCATTTTGCTTTACGAGAACGCGAATGTGATACAATTGGAAACGAATCGAGGTCCGCATTAAATAGGGATTTCATGGTGACCTTTCGTGTCCTCAGATATGGTATGTTTGCACTTTTCATCGTAAGTCGTTTTATATTCGCATTTGTCCATAATCTGATAAACGGTAATTCATATGAATACTACTGACATCATGAAAGTCAGAATAAAAAATTACGATTGTCTACGTTAGTTTAACGTTTAGTTGTGTGAGGTCATCATATTGTTTATTATTAAACAGATTGTGAACAAACGCCAATATAAAACTACTTGCGATGAAAAGTGCAAACATACCATATCTGAGGACACGAAAGGTCACCATGAAATCCCTATTTAATGCGGACCTCGATTCGTTTCCAATTGTATCACATTCGCGTTCTCGTAAAGCAAAATGAAATTGGCCATTTTGTTGGTCTGGGTATACTGTATCTTTATCTCCGCAGCAAACATAAAGTGAGTTGAACACTATTAGTTCTTTCCATTTCATTCGCTCTTCTGTATTGAGTCTTACCCATCCATAGTGATGCAGTTATCATATGGTGCGGTTTGACTTCCAGTTTCCCTAAAGATATATTTGTCAATTTCCCTGTTCATTTAAACACATCGTGTTGTTGATTCAATCTCACACAACATTACGAGCTGGTTACGACTATTTGCTACTTAGGAAGACAGCTGACCACCATTTAGCATTAAGCATGGAGGTAACGAGTTTAATCAAAGTACTTCTGTGATGTGTTCTGTGGTATTTCTTAATAAAAATAGTCGGTTTGTAATGAGATTTTATTTAAACCTATGTGTCGTCAATTGTATTTCATATGTATTGTATTAGTATCTGAATGTTGATAGGTGAATTAATTTAATCGAGAAGCTTACTTTCAACACTTTATTTCCAGTGATACAGCGGTAGCTCATGAAGAGAAGGTAAATGAATACGAATTGGAGCGTGGGATGGTAATCTCTTTGATTTCCATGTTCATAATTCACTGTCGTTTTAGAAACCAGTTCTCTGTACATTACGTCAAGCAATGATGAATGGGATGGGTAAAATTTTGAGAATGTATGATACTTACTCAAGAAAGGATGATTTAGATAAGAAACTTCTTGAAGTTGCCAAAATCAGTAAGTTGTAATAATTTATTAATTGCATTTTCATAGTTGGTCGACGTATTGAGAAACGATTTGATTACTTAGCAATGAAATTGGAATATTTACTCATGTATTCAACCTGTTAACTATGTTAATTTATTCTAATACTTCAAGCGTCACCTTTCCCATATTTTTATTGTGTACATTAGTGATTTACTTATTTAATTTTTAAGTGAATATATTATGAATTCTTAGTTTTTTTTAATGAACAACTATTATATTGTATGCCTATGGATCAAGTGGTCTTATTTTTGTTGTCGTTTACGTCCGAGTGTGTTTCTGTTTACGATAATGTTTTATTATCTTTCTGAATGTTATAAAATTATGACTTGTTGTTAAATCGAGGGTGATATAATCACACGTTATTAATCGATATATATCTAAATTGTAACGACTACTTTATACCTTAGTGCGAGTTTTGTACAGTCGAAGTGTTTATAACGTTTATAATAGTCAGTTATGTAGGCATAATGTTCTTAATTTTCGAATAGTTCTCAACAGATATATTATTTTGTGGAATGATACTTTATTTGTTGCTAAATAGGTAAGTGTTTGTGGCAATGAGATCAATGAATTGGTTTACTATCAAACAGGGTTTTGTGGAGATTTTAGTGATTCCAATAGTTGAAATCATGAGTCAGTTGAAGCGAGACCACTATGGGAAACCTGGAAGCACTGGACGGTCGATTCTTCCCAGCATGGGAATCCTCAGCAGTGCGCATCCACGATCTCGCCCCTTGCGAGATTCGAGCCCAGTATCTATTAGACCATCAGACCACTGAGCCGGCATCCAATGGTGTTAATGTCTAACTTCAACCAATCCACGAAATTGCGCCACCGTCACCATTGTCTTCAGTGAGCTAATATCTCACAACAGACCTGGTTGAACTCCACTGGTCACTGCTTCTCACTAGAACTCCAGGAAATGCATCTTGAAGTCAGTCACTAATGAGCAGGTGATTATTATCAGAAGGGGTTTTTGTGGAGATTTTAGTAATTTCAATAGTTTAAATCATGGTTTACTGTTGAAATACATTTTGTACAAGATACGTCACTGTTCATGTCAACAAAGTGTAATACCATCAGTCGTAACTGCTTTTAAAATAACTTAGATTATACATAAGAAAACAATTATAAACATTATCTACTAGTCAGAATTTTAATGACTTTCACGCAAATATTCTTTAGAATAGTCAGTGGAAGCGCTAGCGTACATTATTTTTTAGTGATTTAGTTAACATCAAATGATATTACACTACCGTTTAGAACATTTTTACTTATATGCATTTTAGTCTGTGATAACTAATTACCGTAGAAATGAATACGTGACAATAAATGTAGTACAAAACGAAATGCTCGTTTTTATTACCAGTTAAATATGATGCTCAATTAATGAAAATCAAGTTTTATATACGGTGAGACGGTGCGAACTGTTAGGTTGCGTGGTGCAATTTAACTATAGAAATAGTTGGTTAGGGATTAGATATGAGGTTTCATTATCATGCTGAGTGTTGAAAAAATCTCAATAAATAAACTAAAATAAAGTTTTCCCCATCTTCCTATTCTAACTGACGGTCATGGATATTCCATATCCTTAGTAAGTAGATACGGTCCTTTATATGGACATTGTATATGTTCGAAAACTATGGAGACAAAAAGAACCTTAAGAGAATTTTAATGCAGGTTGGTGATGTAAAGACATCGGTTACGATTGTTTTATAGGCTATACCAGGTGATTTACGAATTCAAACGTTTTTCATGGTTCACTCTTCTCAAATACTAGGCTAATTTGGTTTTCAACTTAATGAAGTAAGTAAACTGGGCTGTTCGACTTGATATCAAAAAGTAACAGCGCATACAAGCATTGTTTCATTGTCAATAATAAATGTGTGTAACATAGATGACCCTTTAAGAGAGAGCTAGTTTAACAGCCATAAATGATACAATATTAATATAAAGAATATTAAAAAAATGGGTTTATTTCGAGATAGTACCCCAGCAAAGGAATAAACTTTGCAAATAGAGTTTTAACCTAGTATTAAGGAGAAGGTAACAAGTTAAGACTAACGGTTTTGTCATTTTACTAAATAATCCAGCTTATTGAATTATGAAATGTTCTAGGGTATAAGCGGAAGGGAGTCTGAATTTTTATACTGCAATATGATATTTCAACTGTTTTTAGCACTCCCTCTTCAAACTGATGATTGTATCATATAACGATATGACATTCACAGATTCATTATTAGGTCTTCTAACCCACTGACAAATTCTATTGTCCAACGTGTTTCTCCGACACCCTAAACCACGTAATTTTTACCTTATTATTAGAGATTACAAGACGTTAGCCTATATCCACAATTGTATTGTTTATTTACTGAAATTCATCATGAACATAAAAACTCAAATGTTTGTATTTGTTCCAAGGATCCTTGGTTCCACCTCATTTTGGAATTGAACATCCTTATACTGTTGACAAATACCCGACTAGCATGAAACATCTGTTCAATTCTCTGTGAATTTCTTTAGTTCTCTATGTAATAGACTACAACGAAGACAGTTTCTAAATGTTAATGACATATTTTAGAATTGAATAATGGACATCTTTCCTCACATAGGATTATATGGATGTTTATGCTAGATTAGTACCCAGCATATACATAAATTTTAAGCTTTAAGTCTTAATAAACAGTTTTGTGTAGACGTTTTCCTGAAACCGTTTTTTGATTATCTCTTTTGATCTTATAACAAGTCTACTCTTATAACCCTGTATTAGAGTGATGTTGTTGCTTTTGAACTGAAGTTGAAAAAGTCAATCCATCATTTTCTTCAAAATAAATCTTCGGCTGGTTTCAAACGTGTCGTCCTAAAGTAATTAGATACAAAATATAGAACTTATAAACAGTTACCTATTTTACCGCATACCATGAAATAACACTCAAAAAAGATTGTTACAAAGTTTGAACCTTGTTTGCACTATTGTGATTAGAAAACAGTTCAGGGAAGTATTATATGAGGAATGTCATCTTACTGATGACAATAGATGAATTTTTTATTTTAAAGTTTCTGATAAATTTATTGACTAAAATAAAAATCCTATAGGTTCATCGTAATGATACCAATTTGAAAGCGTGATATATTATTGAATTCAAATTCTACATTAAGAGCACTGTATCATTATAGATACTTTAGTAGAACCTTTACTATAATCAGGAATTCTTATTGATGGTAATTTTTCTTCCTCTATCTATCCATCCGTCCATTTTTGAAACAAATGACTTTTCGTGTAATAGCGAAAAAAGCATTGACTCCAATGAATATTCTATAACGATCAAGCAAACCATATCGTCTAAGTGATATGTAAAGTTGATATAAATGTGTATATATTTTGTCCACGGAAACTATAGTAGTGGTACTATTCGACTCAGATGCTTTTTGTAACTGAACAATGAGGTAATTGTGTCGAAAAAAATATGAACATTACTACCGAACTGTATTTGATCAAACTGAGCTTCATCCAGCGACCTTCATCTCTCTCCAAGCCAATCAGGAAAGCGGAATTACCAGGAAAAACTCCAAGTACCTGAAATGAGGATAGGAAAGCTATCAATCCGTTATACGATTATGTCAATGGTTCCGATTCTTTATCTCAGTAACGGATCTGAGATTCCAATAAGGATAGACATCCTGTTGATGGTTCCGACGAGGAAACTACAAATATTTAATTTAAAGTAATGATCCCAGTTGTGTTCTTTTGTTTTGGTCACTTGATTGTGAATAGTATCACAATGATAGATGATATCAAAATCTTAACTAGGTTGTTAGTCCGAGTCCAAGTTTGCCAACCAACTACATTGAAATTTCTTCACACCCCGTGATAATCATTAAAATTCGTAGTCAGTTACCTGACAAACCCGAGTGTGAGTAGGGATATTAGACTGTTTTATAATGGTAGCTATTGCTATGACTTCTTTTCTATCTGCTGTGTAATTATTCTTTACTGTGAAAAGTATTTGGACAGGGAAACTGATTAAATTTTCGGAACAGTCGTTTAAGCGTAAAACATATTTTCATCAACGTTAAAGTTGAAATTATCAGTAATAACGAAATTTATATGTTTTTGATTGATGGAATATTTTAACTAAAAACATTTGTGTCTGTTCGCTTTGAAGTTAGAGGAATGAGACCTTAACAGATCGTCTTAGAAGAATGAATCAGGTAATCAACTGATCACATGTAGTAAGATTGAATTAAAAATAATTTGAATGGTGATTATATTTTATCATCTGTTCGACAGATGAGAAACCATTTTATCAAAGGACCACATGAGTTCAGATACTACATCAGATATGAATTATTTAATAGTAAAACTACCATATTTAACGTAATAAACAGTTAGCGATGTCAGATAATCAATGAGATGATTGCAACAGCGCAGTGTTTCCCTTATACGGTTTTGCATGTTCAAATATGTAACACTGAATCTAGTTTATCATCTGTTAGTTGACATCTCAGTTTGGACTAGAAATGAAGTACACACATGAAAACTCTTGGCCATAAATATAAGTTGACCCCAACAAACAAACAATTTACGAGTAAAATGTTTCTGATTATAAAATTTAGTCATCTTTGCATATTTAAAACACTTATTCAGGATGTTTTAATCAAAGACTTTTGCTAGTTTCACCTGGAGATAATGATCAATGACTTTAATATCAAAATTAAACTGATGCAGTCTTTAAAATAATCAAATGTTATGAGAATTCAAGTTTGAGACCTATCATCTGATGGCTAAATTTTTAAGGAAATTCCAGTCAAATGGCTTGTTTGTTCAATATTGGGAAATTAAAATAGTTAGGTTCCTTAACTTTCTGAAATAATGTGCTAAATTTGATTTCACTCTGCATTTCCTCAAGTTTTATTATAAATCCTCCTTTTTCCCTAAAACAATTTCTAATTATATCACTTATGGCTGTTTTTATGTATATTTTTGAAATATCTACACAGCCGCTAGAATTCGAAAGCTGTGAGGAGAACTAGTCGATTGAATTAAGATTTAATCACCTAATACAAATACATTTGATAAGTAATTCTCTCATTCTGTTTAAGGTTAAAGTAAATAAACTATTTAATGTGAAATTGTAGCTTTTACTGGACAGAGTGAATACTAATTTACAAATACTCTTCATTATCTATGAAGTGAAATTCACTTAGTATGAGACATCAGACTAGTAAGATTGCTTTTATCTAGGGATGATTCTACGTTGATCACCGTTTCTTTACACATAATGCTGCAAGAGTAGTATGAAAATAATAATGACGTCCCCCGAAATCCCACGTCATGTACTTGAAAATGGGGATTAGGATTGAGAAATTCTTATTCGATAGATTGATCATTTACTCAGATCAGTTTACTCAAACCCTAGCTATAGTCAAGTTAACCTATCTGAGATCTTTAACAATATGTTGTAAGCAAAGATAAATGGCCTGGTGCTTACTAAACAAAATGATTTCACTGTGCACCTAATCAAAATGCGGTATTCGTATTTGTTAAGTCCTTCTATGATTGTTATAGATTATCTTGAATCTTTTCATCAACAAAACGTTCTCTATGGATAAAGCGAATCAATGCTAACTTAAATTTCCGAATCAATTCGATTAGCTGATTCTGCTCCAAAATAATAACTTTGCCTAGGCTAGGATTGTATAATATAGTATTTTATAATTACATAATTTGAATACTTCAAGCTCATTTTTATTAAAATTGGTCACGGCTGTTCAATACACGAAAATATATTCTGTTGGTACATTTTGGTAACAAGTTGGCGTAGTTATTATTGCGTAACTTGAAAACAGATCCCTCGAATTTCTATCGTTAACGTGTCATCAATGAAGCAAATCAAGTTGAGGGGGAAACGGTAACTCATTGATAGTGTTGAATGAAACTCGCCAGAAATAAATGACTGAAGTTGAGAATGTGAACTATCGAATTCAGGCTAATTAGTTAGACCGGCTGGTGTTTGTCAATAAACCTGCAGTCCACGGTTTCAATCATCTGTGTATGTGATACATGCGTATTACTGTAGTCTCTTTGAACAGATTAATTAAAAATCAAGAGTTTGAACTTCAGAATATCGGTGTCTTTTAAATAACATATACTGATTATCGACAAATTCTAGTCATCTGTAGACATTCTCATTGAATTTCAGGAAGATATCTCTCTTCTGGCTGCACATGCAATCAGAATGCCCAGAATATTCGTTACTTGTTGATTCATCATGGATTCCTCACAAATGACTTAATTTAAATATTCAATCTTAGCTAACAAGGTCAGCTTATCTGAAAACGAATATTAACTGATAACATTGGATAATTAATATGCTAAATTACTAGTCATTTCTACTTTGACGATTCCAGACAGTAATCTACATCCAATGATTTACTGTAATTATGTTTAATCAGGAAATCAATATCATAAACTTAAGTCTCATATAAATTCAGAAACCATAAACTAGTGAGAAAGACTTTTATATGAATGAGAAAACTTCGGGTATATTTTTTTAAAATTTTTAAAATGGTCGCTTAGAAAACTATCTTTGAACAAGTCACTTTTTGTTATTGTCTAAAGAGAAATGAGCCTGAACCTTTTCAAGTGAAAATAAGTAAGGAAATAACCCATCTTAAACCATACAAGTTTCAGGTGAATTTGATAAGTAATACACTTTACTTACTTGTCGAGGTAACATTTTATGTGAAACAAGGAAAAGGTTAAAAAAGAATTTTTAAAAAATCAAATTCTTTATTTTGCACGAATCCTCAGAGAAATGAAAAGATTACAGAAGTCGAATAAAACACCCAACCAAAGTCTAATAAGTATGATTCGAAGTTGATACGGAATCAAATGTCAGCAAAATATAAATACTATTGGATCGTAACATCGTTTGGATTTACAAATAACCGTGAAAAGTATTCTTTATTTGAAACAAAAACTACCAAACGGGAATTTAGATAAGCAAATGGAAATCTGATATAAATCTTGGACTCTCTGGTGCTGTCCAAAACTGATTCCAACATATATTTAAATTATGTACTTTAAGCGTAAAAATACCTATTAAGCATATTCAAAGTCATAGATATTAACATTCCTTTACTGATTTGCAGTAAACTTATTTCAGTGTCTTAGTTTCAATTATCTTAAATCTTTTAAATATCAAACACATTGTACTACAATTTAATTATTGAACTGGAAACTGACAGTACACACTTGTTTTTTAGAATTCGGACAACATTTTGAGGTAAACAATATTAAAAGTTGACATCACGAGATGTATGCCGGTAGAGATACTGAAAAACCGTTTCATCTTAGGATGCTTTATAGCTAAATTCAGTTCATACTTTAAATTAATATGCATCTGAATAATCGCCAAAAAAAGCCATTCTGGTAAATTTTAAAATGTTTATATTATCATAGAATTTAGGAAAAGATATTCATTAAGGTAATTATGCTTTGATAGCTTACAATAAACTACAAAGATTATAGTCTAAGTATAGTAATCTCTTCAAAGTTGATTTTTATGTCTCTGACAATCACCTTAGTTGCCGGTAATGGATTTTAGCTACTACGTCTAAAATATTTCATAATCACTACGAGAATGTAATTAACTTCGACGGAGATACCTTGAATAATCGTTTAAAGGCATATTAGATAAAAAATAATCAATCATCGGTAAAGTACTTTCAATTTATAATCTTGGCTCAGTAGAACTCAGATATGAATACATGAATAGATACACTATGATGAAAGTTTGAAATTCCCTTATAAATTTATGCTAAAATCATTGCCGATCTCAGTAACTGAAATAAATTTGAAATTAGAATACTCTTGTTGCACAAGGATGATTATTGATCGAAAAGAAGCTATAGCACTGATCTTTTTCATTTTTGATCGTCAAGCGTTATTAAATATCAGTTTGTTAGTTAAGATATTTTTATTAAAAATATCTAACTGTTTACACAGTAATCCTAAAAAATGTAACCATCCTTTATATGTTTACAAACAATTTTCTATTATTTTATACTCGTTTAATTTTCGGTTAATGTTTTACTCTGAAAGGTTGATATCGTGATATACAACACTTTATAGATTATACTATCTCTCATATTTTCAATAATCACAGTATACTCATTCAGTTTCGTATTTATTTTGATTGAGATCATGAACCGATTGATGTTAGACCACCATTACAAACCTGGAAGCACTGGATGGTCATTTCGTCCTATTGTGAGACAACTCATCAGTGCGCATCCCCGATCCCGATCGCGGAATTCGACTAGTTAACCTCTAGACCATTGAGCCGGCATCCAACAGTGTTAATGTTTAGCCTCAACCAATCCACGAAGTTGCCCGAACATCTTCCATTATACTGAGATAGATACCTGTCTCTACTCGATTCAGATTAGCTCCACTGATCATAGCTTATTTATTGAATAGATGATTATTAATTTTCAATATAAAAATATGTTTATAAGCAAACGTATGAGATCAACTACTATTGGTAGTATATTTCTTAATTATATAACATTCTTTAGCTAAACTATTTCTCTTTATTAAACATTTAAATAATAATCTTGAAACATTAAATTGTATACAAGTAAGAATAACAAACGATTTATCAATAGTTCCTATATTATTTTTCTTTGTTGCTAACTGTTAATTCCTTCATTATGGATAATTTACTTTAGTTTATAATAAGAAGATATATATATATATATATATATTAATGATTGTTTGTTGTTTCTTTTTTTTGTTTTCTTTCTTTTTTTGCATTTTTTTAAATACATTCCAAATGATAAAACATTTTCGTAAGTTTCATTATTCCAAATTAGATGATTCTAAACAATTTTCTAAGCGTCTATTGAGACGTTGAATAACTAAAATTTTACAAAAATAAATAATTATTTAATTTATTTAACTTACGAATAACTAAAACTTCTGCTATTTTCTCGCCTAAACCATCTTCTTTGAAATAACTTTTAACTTTATTACGAACTATTGTTAAGTGTTTTAATGTTAACACTTTGAGTTTATCAGTAGTATCCGATAACATTTTTCGCTATAATAATTTTTAAGAAAATAAATCAATTCACTTACCAGTAGAAATTCATTATTTTCTTCAGGTCTTGTTCTGATAGTAATATAAGTAAAGAAAAGAAGTGTGTGTGAGTTAATTTATGCAAACTTCCGATTTTTTTTTTTGATGAAATAAACAGAATCAAGAATAAATGCTTACTTTGAAAGTGAGATAGATATCACAGATGGCATTGATCAAGAGTTATGCTGTGTTTTTTTTTAATTTGAAAGCGCTAAAAATGCTCACTCAATGGTGTAGAGATAAAATAATATTCATTGGACCTAAGGATCTTTAACTCAATCCCGTCTTATTTGGTTTATGTTAATTATTAACACGTTTCAAAACAAGAAGAATATGGCTGTATATTTTTCCGAATGCTGCAATCATTCTCTACCTTATATCATTCTATAATGATAATAATACTTTCAGCTTAGAATTTAGATCTGCTTGTAAATATTTCCTGTTATATATTCTAAGTAGAAGTTTCAACTGGGCTTTTTGGTCCCTAACACGAGTTTAATGTTTAGAAAAGCGCTTGTGATCTCACCTAAATCGTCACTCAGTCATTAGGATGATCCGTTTGAATTTTACAATTCAAAAGTGATGTCAATAAAAAACAAATAATAATACTAATAAAAGATCGATCATCGATTCTATGATTAAAATCACTGTAAAGAAATTAAAGTTTGTCTGCTTTATCTCTGTCGTCAATAAAAATGATAATAATTATTATTTTTATGAAACGGTATTGAACATGTAACCTAGGTGATTAGAATCACAGACTTTTGAATACATGTATATTCTTCTTCGTCAGCAACTTAACCATATATAAGACGTGATCATTGTTACTAACATAGTTAGGAATTCAAATCTTCGTTACATACATCATTCATAAAATAATATAATTTGAAGGGCTGATAAAGAATCATTCTACGCTAAATAGATATTTGTACTTTGCAACTCAACAGTACAGTCAACAATGTTTATATATATATTTATATATATATATATATATATATATATATATATATATATATTTATATATACACGTTAACGTATATATATGATCTGCATATACATCTATTCAAACAACTTTTTATTTTTGCTCACATAGTATTAATGCCATTATTTTACTTGAACTTCCCGATCTGATCGGTTATTTGCATGTATGTGAGTGATTTCCTTGAGATTCTATGAACCTATGGTAAGTTTTCATATTTAAAAACCCTTGACTTAATGAAAGAAGTTGCTAAATTGGTAATAAAATTACTGATTAATCGCAGTTTCCACACACTTCTGTTATTATAAACTAAGAGTTAATTACTGACAACTTTGAAACGAACTTTCAATGCGCTGCTAGAAATCATGTCGAGAACGAAACAGTGATCACTATTGACGTTGGATGAAATTCAGATAATAAGGTAAACTATATACAGGTGAGAACGTGAATATTAAGTTCAAACTCTGAAGATCCTAAGCTTGATCTCATTTCCATGTGACGAATAAATGTTCTCTTCATAGTGACTACCTTAACAAACAACTTGATCACATTCAAATGTCACAAAGTATGCAATAAATTGATCTACTTAGACTTTTATTAAATATTTACGTCCTTATATTTAGTTTAAATGTACGAGATGAATAATAAGACCTGAAGTAAAACTAAATGTATGTATTATTCATCAAATTCTAACAAAAAGTGGATACTAAAAACTATTGTTAAACTAATTAACTTCTTAAACGTGATCAACATAAAACTAATATCATTAAAACAATTAAATTTTGCCCTAATAGAATTTATTATTATTATACAGTTATATAAATAAAACTTACTCAACAAAAACTAATGTGACAAGGACTAATAAGCTTAAAACTAAGATGAATTTCATATTACAGTATAAGTTTACCAATAAATATTTAATGTCTAATAAAATTATCGTGCTTAAGCTTTTATATTATAATTGACTAAGTAGGAATCACGCCATATTAGACAATAACGCGGATGGAGACAGACAAACAGAAAGAGAGGGAGAGAGAGTAAATGAGTGGGAAACAACTTACGAAGATGTGAGGTACCATTAGCCGTTGTAAACAACTTACTATGTAACAGACAACTAATAATTTATATATTGACTATTAGTGATAAACTTGTAAGTCAGTTGATATATCTAATGTTTATATTTCCGAACAGTTTTTTAGATAATACCCAATTCAATTAAATCATATGTTTATAAGTTCCTAGATTAGTTCAATAAATATAACTTGGATACTTGTTCGTTAAACAACAAAACAATTAATTAGTTTTTCAGAAAATCGTGTCTGATTTATCAAATTCAACAAATTGCAGGATGTTCATTCATTTTTTGTATTGTAAAACCGAAATATTCTGTAAATTAGTGAGGTGTAATCATTTTGTAAAGAATGTACGACATTATATTTGCAGAGTTCACAGTAAGTTCATAATTATCTGATGATATATTAAACAAACTCTGAGGTGCAGTTGCATCCAGCTGATGCAGCCCGGATAGGACAAAACGTACGTCCTGGATTCAACAGATAGCCATCATCCGTCGAAATTCATTAGCCCCACGGCAATTTTTTAAAAAAAACCCCACCCACCCTTTTTAAAAATGTTTTTTCAACCCAAAATTGCAATATTTTTCATCCCGTTTCGTCCAATGAAATGGCTAGTTTTGAAGTTCGTTTTTAATTTGTTAGTTATGTTTTGTCGGATTGCTATAAAACATCAGTACTTGTCGACGAAGTACATTTTAATCATCATTATGGAGGACAGTAACTTGCCTAGTACAAGCGCTGTTGTTTCTCACGTAACAGAAATAGAGGAAGTCTTTTTGACAACGTTGTTTCTCGTTGCGTTCCCATCGATTGAAGCGTTGAAGTCCGCTATCGCAAATTATGAAAGATCAACTTACTGTCATTATGTAGTTCGAGATTCGCATTTGTGCAGAAATGAAAACTCGTACATTAAATTTGTGTGCTGGAGACATGGCCGTATAACATCTAGCGATTCGTCACAGCGGATTAGACGGAGGAGGTAATTTTATAAATGTTATTAACATTTTTTGTCATGAAGGGCTTCCATGAACACTGAATGTCCGGCCTTCATGTATTGTAAGATTATCGACGGCTACTGGACTGTTGTACGTGGGAATGTGCATCACAATCACGAGTGCAATTCCCTAAGGTACCAAGGAAATTCATGGGTGCGCAGGTTAACAGAGGCCCAGTTTGAAAATGTGCGACCGCTGCTAATATCTGGTACTGCTTCATTCCACATTAAGAATTATGCTTACCATTCTTATGGGAAACTACTGACTGATCAAGATATCTATAATATGCGGTACAAAGTGTTCTCACAGGCGAACATTCCTGGTAAGCCATTTGCCAATTTATAATGTAAACGATAGGTGATTACGGGAAATTGAAAGCGCACATAACATCTTTGGGTGGGCGATGCGAATACGAATTAGACGATGAGAACTGTCTATCGTACTTTTTCTTCAGCACTGGTGATCAAAAGATTTTCGCAGACCGTTTCGGTGATGTTATTGGTTTGGACGGAACATACAAGACGAATAACGAGAATATCTATTTATATCAGGTCGTAGCCCTTGATATGAATTTGAAGGCGATACCCGTTTGTATTGCATTTATAAGTCGCGAAACATCGACTTTGATTTCTCGATTCCTGTCGTTCTTCCAACGGTTAACCAACAGTCGACAGATGGTAGGCATTGTGACAGATGATTCACCTGCAATAGCTGCTGCCATCATGCAGGTGTATCCCAATGCTCACCATATCTTGTGTCGCGTCCACCTTGTTCGCAATGTTATAAAGAGGGTAAGTGTTCCGTTCATTAACAATAACCCAGTAACCGTAATTGTAGAGGGTACGATCAGAAGTGATACAACTATTTTCTCGCCTGATGTTTACTCAAACGGTTGAAAGGTAAATCAAAAGCAACATAACTTTATTTTGTAGTTTTAACACTGTATTATCCTTGATCGAAATATCGGACGGAACGTTTGCGCGATATGTCAGAGACCACTTATTAGCGAGAAAACACAAATGGTCTACAGCTTTTCGACCATCAGCAACGCTACTTCAACTCAATAATACGAACTTTGTTGAGACAAGTCACCGAATTTTGAAGATGCATCAACTGAGTAGAAAAACACCAGTGCTGAGATCTATATTTAGTGTGCTACTTCGCGTTGGATATTGGATGGAAGCCAGATTACAGAAATATACATCAGATTGCCGGGTCAAAGCCAACATCGGCCAAGAGCCAGCAATGCGTAGACTTCAGGAACGACTGACACCAGCGAACTACAAATAATTTACAAGTGAACACAATAAAGCGTTTCAATGGACTTTTACAAATTAACCACATTTAAATCTAACGTTGTCTAATTCTCATTATGAATGAACATTTACAAAATAATCCTTTACTAAATATTAAGTGTCTTTTTCGGTTAAATTTATTACTACATTCATATACTGTCAAAGTCGGTTAATTAAATGATGGTCTACGGTTGCTTCACCTGAATCATAAATATTGCAACTACTAATTTATCATGATGATTTATTAATATGTTGATTTCCTTTTCCCATTAACACACCGTGTGTTACCAAAAAACCTATGCATACACTTTAGTGATAATTTGTTTATTAATTTGGTATTAAAGATTTGACTACCGACCTTACTCAGTAATCACTATGATCAAATATTCAAACCGGTTTTCAGTTGCTTTTTTCCAAAAATTTTCTTTTTATGTGATATATATAAGTATTCGTGACATTAAAATTGTTGATCGGAAATCAAAAATTTATCCCAATACACATTCACTAACAGTAGGATTGCACTTAAGTTGGTGTTTTTTCCTATAAATGTCTAAATTTCTTACAAGACTTACATTACACAAAAAGATTTATTCATTATCGTTAAATTTCAAATGTAAAAATCAAAATTCTGACATCCAATCACAGCTCTAGATACGATTTCAATTTCAACTAATCACATTGCAAAGATGAACAGTTTACGACCAATTACAAAATGATTAAAGGTGACAAAATGTTTGTTCATTATCACTTGAGCACACACTTGCAAACCAAGTACACCAATCACCTATCGCTAAATTTTTCTTTGACACCATACATTTTTTTAGAAATGGGGGGTAGGGAATCTTAATTGCCGTGGGCAAAATGTCAACCATCCGTCTCTTCCTTAAATGCTTGTAATCTGTTAGCAATATCAAGACAATCCTCACACGTGCACATATCATTAAAAAAATTGATCAATTCCAGTCCTAAACATTAATGGAAAGATACAAACAACCAATATATTTGAATTAATATCTGATAATACATTGAATGTATGAATGTGTAATTTTCACAATTTAGGAGACAATATATACATTTAATTAATTACTCTTACTGACGTTCCCATTGTGCAATAAACAAAGCAACAATTATGAGTATGTAGATTCATCAGGAAAAGGTAGTTTTAACTGGTTCACTGAACCATCAATTCTATTCAGAATATAAACTTTCACTGAACTTAGTTTCTGCTAACTCATCATATTTATGTCTGTTTTAGGTGAAATCTACTCTCTTTCTCTCTCTTCGTCTCATTTTAGATAGTTCGGAGAGGCTAACTGATAAATCAAAGTGAATTTGAGATACATGATCAACGGAACCAGTAGTATTCTACTGAATTCTTCAGAATCTAAACATAGAACATTGAGGATGTTTGGTGATAATGAATACGAGAATTTAGAATACTCGTTTCGGTTTTTGTATCATTAGTTGACTAAATGTACTGCCATCGGTGCTACAACCCTTCATCAATTAATTCACATTTTGAAATACTCGACATTATGAATGTATTAGCGTTATAATTGTCTGATATTAGTTGATAGTGATAAGTCAACACTGGAGTGGATGACGTTCAGAAATTTGAAGTTGGCAGTTGATGAATTTCTATCCCATTTATAACATCACTATGGATATAAATCTGTGTATTTGATAAGTTACGAATAAGATGACTTTTATTCATGACCATGAACAATTATAAGACTTCTTTACAAGCTGTGTGTTAAAGAATAATAACCAAACATTTTTTTTATTTTGTAAACATTTATCAAGTTTGAAGTACATACTTGTGTAAAATATGTAAAATTTAACACGAAAGCAACGAAAGTCTAGGTACTTACAAAATGTTTAAACAGTATAACATTTAATTCTTTCCGTAAATATTAACTTGACAGTTATGATATCTTGGAAATGCTATGTATATCATTATATTTTATCTCTACTTCAAAATCGTTAGTTAATCCTTGAGTATATGTTTGCTTACGAGACTTGACATTCCACTTAATGGATAATTAACATCTTAAACAATATTCAATGATCAAATACTTTCTAGTACGTTGGGAAACATACATCATTGACCTGAACATTTCACTAGTCACCCTTTTTGTATGTAGATAAATTGTAGTCCACGTAATTGATCAGTGCTAACAATGTTGTCAATCACATATGCAGAAAAGTTCAGGAATAGTTATTTGAATAATTATAGTGGCAACCAACAAGACTATAGTGATTCATTTATTATTCAGTAAAAACTTGTATAAGCTTATCTTGTATGTGAATCTCAGAAACTTCTAAAGGATATCTAGAAACCAAATCATTATGAGCTTCGCTAATCTGCTTTATTAAATGTCTAACTTACTTCCAATTTCAGTATATTTTCTAGAATGAACCAGAGTCCCAAGGTTAATCGTGACACCATAAAAATACCTTATATTTAAGATACGCTAAATATAAAAGTAACTCCGCCTGGAGTCCCTCCGGGGGCTACTGCCGGTCCCAAGCCCGGATAAAGGAGGAGGGTTGGGCATGGGGTTAGCGTCCCCATCCCGTAGAAAACTAACTCGCTAAAAAAACGCTAACCAGAAAAAATTATTCAAACCTTTTAAACTCTGCCCTGGGAGTCAGAAGGTCTTCACTTAGAAGAATTATGACGCCTCATGATGAAAGCCGAATTCCTTCGGAAGTTACGAGGCCGATGCCCCTTCTGACAACCAGAGCAACCATTTATTTAGGTACATGGAATGTTCGTACAATGTGGGACACCGGAAGAGCCTTCCAGATTGCTGCAGAAATGAGAAGATACAACCTAGAGGTACTTGGGATCAGTGAAACACATTGGACACAAGTTGGACAACAACGACTAACTACAGGAGAGCTCCTGTTATACTCCGGCCATGAAGAAGAAAATGCACCACATACACAAGGAGTTGCATTGATGCTGTCCAAACAAGCGCAAAATGCGCTTATAGGATGGGAATCTCATGGACCAAGGATCATCAAAGCCTCCTTCAAAACAAAGAAAGAGGGCATTTCAATGAACATCATCCAATGCTATGCGCCTACCAACGACTATAATGAAGACGCTAAAGATCAATTCTACAATAGGCTGCAGTCAATCGTCGAGAAGTGCCCAACAAAGGACCTGACCATTCTGATGGGAGATTTCAACGCCAAGGTTGGAACGGACAACACTGGATATGAAGACATCATGGGACGACACGGACTAGGAGAAAGAAACGAAAATGGTGAGAGATTTGCAAATCTATGTGCCTTCAATAAGCTGGTCATAGGCGGCACCGTATTCCCACATAAACGCATACACAAAACCACATGGACTTCACCGGATCACTCTACACAAAACCAAATCGACCATATTTGCATCAACAAAACGTTCAGGAGGACTATAGAGGACGTGAGAACCAAGAGAGGAGCTGATATAGCATCAGATCATCACTTACTGGTCGCCAAGATGAAATTGAAACTCAAGAAGCACTGGACAACGGGGCAGACAGTATCACAAAAGTTCAATACGGCCTTTCTCCAGGATACTAACAAACTCAACAAATTCAAGATAGTCCTCAGCAACAAGTTCCAGGCCTTTCATGATCTACTCAATGGAGAAGGAACTACTGTGGAGAGCAACTGGAAGGGGATCAACGAGGCAATCACTTCAACATGTCATGAGGTCCTGGGTCACAAGAAGCACAATCACAAGGAATGGATCACTGTTGGTACACTGGATAAGATTCAAGAAAGGAGGAACAAGAAGGCAGCGATCAATACCTGTCGAACAAGAGCAGAAAAAGCCAAGGCACAAGCTGAATACACGGAAATAAACAAACAAGTGAAGAGGAGCATCAGAACCGACAAACGTAAATATGTGGAAGATTTAGCAACGACGGCGGAAAAGGCTGCAAGAGAAGGAAACATGAGACAATTGTATGACACGACAAAGAAACTCTCTGGAAATCGCCACAAACCAGAACGACCAGTGAAAAGCAACGCAGGCAAGGTAATCACCAACATTGAAGAGCAACAAAACAGGTGGGTAGAACACTTCAAAGAACTGTTGAATCGACCAGCTCCACTGAACCCACTCAACATCGAAGCAGCACCCACGGACCTCCCAATCAATGTTGGCCCACTAACAATTGAAGAAATCAGCATGGCCATCAGACAAATCAAGAGTGGCAAATCAGCAGGACCGGACAACATCCCAGCAGAGGCACTAAAAGCAGACGTAGCGGCAACTGCAAGGATACTCCACATTCTCTTCAATAAGATTTGGGATGAGGAACAAGTACCAACAGACTGGAAAGAAGGACTTCTGGTCAAAATACCGAAGAAAGGCGATCTCAGCAAGTGTGATAACTACAGGGGCATCACTCTTCTCTCAATACCGGGAAAAGTCTTCAACAGGGTATTGTTAAACAGGATGAAGGACTGCGTAGACGCCCAACTTCGAGACCAACAGGCAGGATTCCGTAAGGATAGATCGTGTACAGACCAAATCGCAACTCTACGGATAATTGTGGAACAATCAATTGAATGGAATTCATCACTCTACATCAACTTCATTGACTACGAAAAGGCATTTGACAGCGTGGACAGAACAACACTATGGAAACTTCTTCGACACTACGGCGTGCCTCAGAAAATAGTCAATATCATACAGAACTCATATGATGGATTACACTGCAAAATCGTGCATGGAGGACAGTTGACAAAGTCATTCGAAGTGAAGACCGGTGTTAGGCAAGGTTGCTTACTCTCACCCTTTCTCTTTCTCCTGGTGATCGACTGGATCATGAAGACATCAACGTCTGAAGGGAAGCGCGGGATACAATGGACATCTAAGATGCAGTTGGATGATCTAAACTTCGCAGACGATCTGGCCCTTCTATCCCAAACGCAACAACAGATGCAGGAGAAGACAAACAGTGTGGCAGCAGCCTCAGCAGCAATAGGTCTCAATATACACAAAGGGAAAAGCAAGATTCTCCGATACAACACAGAATGCACCAATCCAATCAAAATTGACGGAGAAGATTTGGAAGATGTCAAAACCTTTACGTATTTGGGCAGCATCATTGATGAACAGGGTGGATCTGATGCAGATGTGAAGGAGCGGATCGGAAAAGCAAGAGCAGCATATTTACAACTGAGGAACATCTGGAACTCAAAGCAACTGTCAACCAACATCAAGGTCAGGGTTTTCAATACAAATGTCAAGACAGTTCTACTGTATGGGGCGGGAACCTGGAGAACTACAAAAGCCATCATCCAGAAAATACAGGTGTTTATTAACAATTGTCTACGCAAAATACTTCAGATCCGTTGGCCAGACACTATCAGCAACAACATACTATGGGAGAAGACAAATCAGATTCCAGTGAAGGAGGAAATCAGGAAGAAGCGCTGGAAGAGGATAGGACACACATTGAGGAAAGCACCCAACTGCGTCACAAGACAAGCCCTCACATGGAATCCTTAAGGCCAAAGGAGGAGAGGAATACCAAAGAACACATCACGTCGAGAAATGGAGACAGATATGAGAAAAATGAACAAGAATTGGATGGAACTAGAAAAGAAGGCCCAGGATAGAGTGGGTTGGAGAATGCTGGTCAGCGGCCTATGCTCCATTGGGAGTAACAGGCGTAAGTAAGTAAGTAAGTAAGATGTAAAAGTAAAGCATTTTTATATTTTCTCCTTTTGGTTTATTTTTGATATTCAAAGTTTTAAGACCTGTGGAGTTCAGAAATTGGCTAGAAAGTCAATATCTTAAACCTTCAGTTTACCAGATATATCACTCTATTTTATGTGAAGGTAATATTGATAGCTCATTAGTACTCTAATGACTGGTTATCATTACTACTACATCGTAACTTGATCGATAAAATTAGATCAATATCGAGGACTAGATAATATGAAATTAGTGATTATTGAATGGCAACTTATAAATTAAACACTTGGAAACATAGAGAAATCTTGTTTCTAGGAATTTAATCGAGTACAGTTATATATTCTGAGGGAGAGATTAATGTGTAGGCACTGAAAAATTGACTTCATGATACATGTTTATTTGGTTTACATAAATCTTCGATCATCTGCAAAGTAGATTATACAAATTGAGATTATTTAAATTTAGAAATGATTTCGACAAGTATTTCATAGCAATATGCATAAGTATTAAACTAATAAAGCTTTATTTTATGAATAACCATATAACTAAGACTTATACATACATAAACACGAATTAATGACTGTTTAGAAAAGAAACTGTGTCCAGTGATGTACCCTTATATATATATTTATGGCGAACATTTTAAAAATTTATTTATTTCGTAATTATAAATATAATTGTGTATTACTAATCTGTTGATATTTCGATTAGATATCTAGTTAAAACAACTTCCTGTAACGTATTTATAGAGAAAAAATGTTGTTATGTAATACAAAAATACTTCAATGATTTTAGTATGAAAACATTTTTATTTACACTACAATATGATTGAATGAAGAGTACTTTTTTGAGAGGGATGATTACTTACTTACTTACTTCTGTTACTCCTCGTGGAGAAGCATAGGCCGCCCACCAGCACTCTCCATCCTATCCTATGCTGCGCAATCATTTCCAGCTCTTTCCAGTTGTTATTCATCCTTTTCCTATCTGCTTCTATTTCGTGACGTAATGTTGTTCGTTAGCCTTCCTCTTTTCCGCTTCCCTTCAGGATTCCAAGTCAGGGCTTGCCTCGTGATGCAGTTTGATGATTTCTTAAATGTTTTTCTCTATCCATTTCCATCGTCTTTTCCTAGTTTCCTCTTCAATTGGGAGTTGGTTTGTTCTCTCCCACAGAAGGATATTGCTGATGGTATCCGGTTAATGGATGTTGAGTATCTTGCGTGGAGAGAAGGATGATTAGTGTAATTAAATGACATTTTTAAGATCTCAGATGGGTATTGTGTTTTAACATAACATGACATCAATAGACAATTGAATATTTTAAATCGGTAGCTTCCTCTGAAGAAATTGTAAAGACACTGTTTGCTTTTTAGTTTTATCTTATACTCTTAACGGTCAATGCAACTTATAAAATGTTAATCATGAAATCTCTCCATAATGATTTAAAGATTTACTTTGTCGCTGACCAGATAGTATACTAGCTTGAAATTTCTTGATATAATGTATCTCTATGCTTACATTTTCTTTCAGTGGTAAGGTGAATTTTAAAATTATTTAAGTGGTTTATTTTTTTAAATGATAACTAAATTTTCCTTATTAATTATAGGGAGATGTTTTCGATTTTATCAACTGGGTAATTTTGTGTTTCATTCATATTCATGATTGCTGTTTGAAACTATAGGTACCAGATTAGAGTCACATTGGAAAGACTAACATAGATGTAAGTATATTCAACTGATAAATCCCAAACAGAATAAAATATGGGTTTTGCATTGAACATCCAGGTTGCATCTAAAATATGGTCAAGACATATCCTCTGATACTACAAAGAGTTTACTTACTATAACTGAAATTATGTCAACAAACACTTACTATTATTCTGTATTGTACATTATATTCCCTTCAGTTTTCTTAATCACTAGATAAGAGTAAATAAATATGAATAATTTCTACAAAATGATCACTTTTTTCATAAAATAATCGAAACTAATAACTATTCAGCATCTAAGTTATTATAAGAAACGTGACAACAAATATATTCAGCTTTTGACGCATAACTTGTAACAAAATTTAAGAATAGAAGTAAACTGATTTCAGAATCTGATCACTTTTTTTCGGATACGGTGTAGTTCACTGATAAGAAAAATATATCAAGTGTGATTGATACAGTACACCAAATAAATTTAAACAAAGTCTTTTTGAATAATATAACAGATTTTACTCAATATGCGGCTTGATTTGTAGTGAACAAGAACACCAGTGGGGACAATCGAATGTATTTAGCACAAAATTACAGAGTTACTCGGTAAAATAGAAAAACCTATGGCGAATCGTTAATTTGCAAAATATCAATCTATCATATCAACCTGGACTGTTCTTGTTGCAAACATCAATCCATTGTCTCATATTTCATTGTTCATGCATTTTCTTACAAATTGCATTGTGTTCCCGCTCTTCCTTCCTTAATCTTCCCCCATCTTCTGCTGCCAGACATATACTACTTATATCAATATAAGTAGCACGCACCATAGATTTGCATACAGTTTAAGATATCGGTAACTATTTTGATAAACTTGATCTCTGAATTCACAATAATTTATTACAGCCTCTCTTCCTACTTTTGCCATTCGTCTGATCAAATTACAACTAGTTACAAATGACATATTAAAGCTCTTTTTACTTACCTTTTGCTAAATAACAATTAGTCCTATTTATCATTTGATTCTTTTACATAAATAGTGTTCATATTTCAGATTATCAAACAATAATGACATAAGGATTGTATAATTAGTCATTTTTCTTTTAACAATTTAACCCATGTACAACAACTGATGAAGAGCAATATGAATTAATTTTACTGAGTAGTTTCGTTTCAGCTGCTTACAATCGTATATGCATAGGATACTATTAAGTAGTAAACATTAGTCATTGAAAAATCAGAATACCGACAATTATCTGAAATTGTTATTTAGAATTTTGATTTTTAATAAGATGGATTGAGAAATAATTGAAGATTGATTAACTAAAAATCATAGATGGTTAGAAAACTAATTTTAAGCAGAAATAACATTTAGCCAAGCAAAGATTGCGTAACAAGACAATAGTAATAATCACAAAACATATAGTAATAATAATAATAATAGAATCAGGTTCTAATCTAAATCATGAATTCACTATGATAGTGACAAATTGACGAACGACTCTCTCTGAACACATAGATTCAGTTGCTATTTTAGTAAAAACGTAAACAAGTCGCATGTTTTTATCTATTGACATTATTGAATAATTTATGAACGTCGATGATATGGTCTCTGTTGATTAGATGTTGAGCTATAACCCTATTATTCATCCAAATTTGCCAAGGCAACAAGAATAAACATAGTTCGTGAAGATTAGCTTACACAGAGACTATACCAATAAAATAGGAATAGATGCTGGTTCAGATTGACGACTTACTTGAAAATCTGAGCCACCTGTTCCCGCTATCTAGATATTTCAATAAGTTATCTGTTTTTTGTGTGTTTTAGCACATAATTATGTCTATTAATCGCACAACCTATTCCGGCGCGTTTATGAAACGTTTACGACTTTCTGTTGTACAAGTTACAAAAAAGTAGAATCAGAGATATAGTGTTAGCTGTAAGTATGCATTGAAAGGAATGAATATTATTCAGATGTCCATTCCTGAGCCGCTAACATCTAATTGGTGATCACTCAATATTTATTGTCAGGATCAACCAAGAAGTAAGAAACGCAAACTTGTTGAAACATTTTGTGTTGTGAATTCCATATTGTTCCAAAAATATAACATTGAATAAAGCCATTATTAATAACGATAATAATAATAGTCAAGTAGAAATAAGACATGGATGGACTAGTAGTTTCTCATTGACAAACGAACACGATGTCCTGGAGTACTTCCTTAAAATGTTAAAATGTAATTTATACTACTTAATAATAAGTAGTACAATGATGAAATACAACAAAAAGAACAATCAACTGATGCATCCTGAAGGCATTCGAGTACGGACAGTTCTATGTATCATTCGTTTAGCTGGTTTGTAAGAAATCATTGTGTTAATGCGGTGAATAAAGTACTAATGAACAGTATGAATTATAGTCAGGCATCTACTAAATACATAATACATATTCAATTTTGAATAAAGAGCATCACAATATTACATGAAAACTGCACAGAATCTGTCAAAAGTAATATAAAATTGATTTTACACTACATTGATTTTTAACTGCTTCACTACCTGTAATTGTAAAGAAAAAGTTTCGTCTTTTCGAAATAATAATACGTAGACTAAGAACGAAGTGTGCACAAAACACTGGGTTCAAGGATCTCCAAAAAATACTGCACGATGGTGTATTCAACATTGAATATTTTCTGGACGGTTAAAAATAAAACTTCCGTCATATTTCGTCTATTTGAAGTAGATAATGAAATTGTTTTTGATACTAGCAACCGAAACTTGCTATTTAAATCTTGAAGATTGGGAGACTAAAGCAAATCCGCTAATACCATTATTTCAAAAGACAAACGATTTCACTGAATTTTTTTTGAATTTATTTATTCGGTTAATAGTTAATAAATTCAAAATAATCACAGTTTGAACTGACCTTTCAATAGATGAAAAGTTTCAACCACATATTACTTGTTTAAACCATGAAATTGTACATTCCAACATGGTTTGTTAAGAGACACACCTAGGATAGATTGATTTTAATAGGAATCTCAAAGTAAAAGTTTAGTCGAATGCTTTAGAACAAGTAATACTTAGTATGTGATCATCAATTTGTTAATAACTACATTTGAATCTCATTATTTATCGAGAATTATCTAAAATCATCAACAGAAGCAAACGAATGGAAGAGAGTACGATTTGAATAATTCTACGCTGTAGAGAATACACAGATTCAAAGCTGAAGTATGGACATAACAGCAAAATAAGATGACGATTTTGAGCTCAGGCGGATGATTTTGATGCAGTTGTGTTCTCTGAGATGGATGGTTTGGTCGTGGAGCTTTCATCGTTGCTCTGAACAGCATCATCAGCATAAACTTCAGGTAAAAGTGAAGTAGAAAAATCACATCAAGAAAACCCATTAGAGTCCAAGTTAATGATAAAAAACTTGAAAATATATTTCAAGAACAACCAGAGAAGGAACCAGTCAATCTTGAAGATGATATCCACCCCGAGGTAGCTTGGTATGATATCTAAAAAGGTGTAGTAACCTAAACCAAAACGTTGGGAATAATCAGTGAATTTCAGCGACGTCTACAGGGCTGACAGATGCTCGGAAATTCATCCTTTCTAACTTTGAGCATGAGGATCGGAGGCAGCTTAGATGTAGGCTGATTAAAAGCCTACCTAATGATTACGAGCAATGGTGGATAGCGAATGCAGAAGGGATGGAAAAGACAACAACGATAGGTAACAGCAGACAACTGTTCAGACTTATCAAGGAAATGGGTGTTAAAAAGCCAGCTATTAGTGAAATTATCTCGGAAAATGATGGGACTATTATTCACCCTCGATCCAGGAGATTGGACTAATGGACAAAACACTTTAGAGAACAGTCCAATTGGTCACCACCTACACTTCAGTTATCCACTATCTCCAAGCAACCTGAATGGCCAATTCATGTAAGTTTTCCAACTCTTAGTGAGGTTATAAATGCTGTAAGTAATCTAAAACGAGGGATAGGAACAGGGCCTGACGAACTAACCCCTGAGATTTTTAAGGATGGTGGCCCAGTTTTAGCAGTTACATTAACTGAAATCTTAGCTAAAATTTGATAGCTGAACGTAATCCCATCTGACTGTTCTCGAATGATGATCGTTCGAGTTTATAAGAAAGGATAAAAATCCTCTTGTGATAATCACAGAGGAGTCAGTTTAAGTAATATGGTGTTTAAAATAGCCTCAATAATACTTCGTCTAACTAGAGCTAGTGAAGAGCAAACCCGAGAAAACCAGGCTGGTTTCAGACCTAGACGTGGATGCATAGAAATATTCACCCTTAGGCAGATTTTAGATCATAAACATACTTCTCGACGTCCGACTAGTTTTAGGGAGACGTTCGACTCCGTTGATCGTGAAGTTCTATGGCAGTGTGTCATTGAAAGGCGTACCGAAAAAGTGCATTAACCTTGTAGTTCCTCTATTCGAACAACACTGGTGGAGTCAGACCTTATGAAGAATTGTCATCGGAGTTAATGGCTTCAAGATGCGTTCGTCAGTTTCGCATGCCTTCCCTATCGTTATTTGACTTTTTCCTAGACACTTTAAGGGATTGGTTTTCTACCAGGAGATTCACTTATTTACTTAGAATACTCAGGTGATATATTTCTGTTTGGTGAAGGCGCTGACAAAATGCAATGTTTCCGGATCACCTTAAGCAACAATGCAAGCATGTTTAAGTTGAGGTTCCCTCCCTCCAAATGTAAAATACAACTTCGGGATTGGCTTGGGTCAGCTCCTGAACTAATGACTGGGAGTGAAATAGTTGATGGTCCGATGTCCGACGAAATCTCGGTACAGATTCAGATGGCTCGATTGGCTTTTGTCAACTTGGGTCACTTGTAGCGTAGATATCCTTCTGAAACAGAGGACGAGTTTACTGAGTAGCAGTTTTCTTCGTTCTACTTCATGGGTATGAAACATGGCCAATAATGGAGAATATTCGTAGGTCACTAGTATTCTGTCACAGGTATCTAAGTAGCATTGCTCGTATATTTTAAGACCACGGTATAAGCAGTGCTTGGGTTAGAAAGAGTACCGGGTAAGGATGAAAAATCGATTAATGAAGTAGTATATACTTATCAACTGAGGTGGTTGGGACGTGTTACGTATGCCCAACCACCACCTACTTCAGCGGACGATATTTTCTGTTTCGAGAGTAGACTGCAAGAAAGCTAGGGGTGCCCAAACCAAAACATGTGAATGAAGTCATTGACGATTGGACTTAGCCATGTTAATAGGTATAGACTACCGTGTCGGCGTCTGTGTGATTATTGTAACCAATGGTTAGACTTTGAATGAGATGGCTCAAAATCATTTTTAATGGCGCAGGTGCATCTATTCCTTGATTCCCTAAAATTTCTGAGATCCCAAGTTTCTCATAACTTTCTTTCGTTTTTATTCCGCTTACTTATATTTTCTTCTCGAGTCTTGTCTTCGATGCCTAGTCTTTCTTATTACCACAGATACGGTTACTACATCTACTATTCTGGGATTAGGCCTGAAAACTTCATCTCTGTGAAAATGGGATGTGGCAAATTGGACCGGAGTACATACGCACAGGTTCTACGTTGTGACTGAGAACAATACTGAAAAGTCTATATATACACGAGTCAAACTGTTATAATCAAAGTATAGATAACCGTTCTACTACTTTTTTACTCGTAATCTGAGAGGTCAACTGTCTAAACTACCAGACTAGTTGTAATTGCATGATAGTGATCAAACTTTTCTTGTACAGAAATTAACTAGATAAATCCACATTTACTAATAGAACCAATACAAGAAGAGAAAACTTATTTTCAAGCTTCTATACAGATTAAGTTAACACTTTTGAAACGTCGGTATATATATCTTTCTCATCGGAAGAAACAAAACTGATACATTTATACATCAGTTTTCAGACAAAAAATAGACACATTCAGTGAGTCAAAAATGAACAAGTAAAGAAAAATACATTCGAATTTTCCATGCGTACAGAAGTGTAATACCAGAGAATGTAACAAAACAAAGAAAAAGAGTTTGCATGGCACTGAACATAAAGCTGAAACCAAACTATTATCGATTTATTTGTCATTATTGTCTTTTGACTTGCTATCCAATTCAGAATCTGATTTCTTTTCTGCTTCTTTATCAGTTTCCATTATAACATCCATTGGTTCGGAGGACGAAGTTGGAGGTGACTGTTTAGCATTAGTAGAAGAGGTGTCTGTAGCTACAGTGGAGTCTGATTTACTACTTGTACTACTGCTGCCAGCAATGCTAGATGTTGTTGTTTGCGATGTTGTACCTTCTTCTATGTATAGAAACGGTTCTGGTGGATTTGGTTCAGAGCTTGATACATGTGATTTGCTGCCACGACGACTTGAAGTAGTTCCACGACTTTTGTCGCGTCTCACCTCTGTACTACTCTCACTCATTTCTATATCTCCTTTAGAAGTGTGATCGTCAGACTCTTCGATTTCAACAGTCGAAACAGTGGCTGCAGCTACATCAAACTCTTCTTCATCATCATCTTCATCTTCTTCATGCATATCACTAGAAGAATCTTCATCGTCATCTTCATCTTCCTCATCATCGTCATCATCATCCTCGTCAAGATAAGCTCCAATGGTTGATGCATGAATAAGCTCTGTTTTAGAATTAGATCCAGAGCCTAATGCAGCAGCAAGATCAGAGCTACTTGTACCACTAGATGACCCAGTTCCTCCACCGACTCCTGATCGTTCTAAGGTAGGGCCATGTCCAAGTACATTTTCAACTAGAACTTCTGCATCTTGAGGACTCTTATCTTGCACCATCAGTATTCCACCCTATAAATGTATTATAAAAATTGAATTTTAAAGGACGTTCAACACATATAAGAACGATTTCAAAATAAATTATATACTTATTTTACAATAAAGGAAAAAGCATAAAAATTAGACATGTATAATTTAAATTCATAAAATAGTCGGCTCATTTTCTGTGAACTGCTACAAGTACATGTTTGTGTACATGGTTTTGGGCTACACAAATCTCGATCTGGGGACTACTGATACTACCTGGGTGTTGAAGCCAAATCATATACAGTGATGTTCATGACTATTATCTAGTAGCTGATAGTTGAGTGTTTAAACCAAAAAGATAGCTTTCTGCTCCACTGTGAGTGATAATTAAATCACGAGCTCACACGACAATAAATAAACCAATCTAACATAAATATTATGCACTATGAACTGAAAATATACGAATCATTTGATGAAAAAGGATGGATCAATAATTCAGTCAATAAAAAGTTTATCAATCCATGAAAATGGTTTAATGTGGAAAATATATGACAAAATATTTTTTGGGAAAACTAACAAAAATGATATGGATAGTATTATCGGTCAAATAATAACATTCAAATCAACAAGTTTCTGAATAAACCACTGGAATTTAAATAAGCTTTTCTATTTACTGTTTCACTCTAACTAATAACAATGATGAGAAATATCACACTATGACGAAACAGTTGTCTAATGATTACTAGATTTCATTGGGGTTTTTTTTAGTCTAGTTCGATTTATGATTACAAAAACATTCAACGATCTCCACACACCACTTAAACTAACAATTAACCTTGATATCAGTAGAGAAAAAAAGTTAGAAACAATAAAATGAACAACAATTATTTTTATTGTGATATTTAACAATAAAAAGATGAATAGAGGGAAGAAATACGCTTTTGCAATTTGTTTTTCATCACGGCTTTATACTACTAATAATAATAAGATCAATACCAATCAAGCGGTGATATCACATATTCGTAAGGAGAAGGTTACAGCTAATCAACAAAAACAGAATAAAAATCTGGAGAGAAAAAAGGCATCGGCAAATGAGAGATTGTGTAGTAAGACATTTCAAACTTTTATGATGATCAAATTAATGAGGTTTCTTATTGTTAAACCATATATATTAGTCTAAAGCAGGGATGAGAATCAAACTGAAAAGAAATACTTCTCTTCTTTAATTATTTTTCCCTAAATAATATAGTAATACAAAGAGGTAGACTATATTCTTAACATGCCAAACAGTTACACAATCATCAGCAGAAGGATGTGCACACGATACAGACGACTAAAAACAAATTTGAGAATACAATTATAACGTAGAAGAGGTGTCACGTATTTGCTATGACTTTATTCTTATAAAATCGATTTATAAATGAATTTCTCAAAAGTAGTTTCTTCCACATAACCTGAGGATTAGTAGTTAGATTTATTTGACAAATTTGCAACAAACGATTTTACATACTTCCAATGAAAGGCATTTCTTGACGAGCTACCTGATAAATTAAACCTTGAAAGATGAAATTGTAAAATACAGTACTAACAACTAATGCTTTGTTTATTGAAGAAAAAACAAGTTCTAATTTAAAATTAGCTATAGAAAAATTACATTTAATTACAAAATATCTGTGGGTTACGCAACACTTTAAAATCTGTTATTGCAAAACAAAGATATCTCAAATTAAATTATTTGTTACAGATAGTGGGTACATACCTGACTGATTGGTTTTAAAGTTACATAACGAGATGATTCAGGAAGGGTCACGTATCTTTGTTGTGAGCGCATTACTCTAGCTGGGTTATTTAGTAGACTGAAATTCGGTTCCTAAATGGTAATAATAATAAACAAATGAATAAGTGTAAATCTAAACGATTATATACAGAATTATGAAGACCAGGATAATTAAACATAAAGGGTTCAATCTACAATTCCATAAGACCAAATACATCCTTTAAATAATTAATGCCTTTAGGACTAATTAATAGTAGGTAGTTATCGTACGAACAAATAAACTAATACACATATAGTGGAGAAGGACCTGTTCCAAAGCTTCCATTGCTCATAAGTTGATTAGAGTTGGAAATATAAACATATAAATTAAACGTATTCAGGAAGTTTGTTTGATTGTTGCCAATTTCAATCACCTTCAGTGTTATTTGTTCATCTGATAATAAAGAAGCGAGTATACTGCTCAACTGTCCCACTGCACAACGTGACGTTATAAGTAGAGGATATTCGTAAGTTACTAGTACTTAAACATAAGTATCTACTGAGCATTTGTATTGTACTGGTGGGATCACCGAGAGAGCTATGTTGATATGAAAAGCAGAGTACTAGACAAATATGGCAAATCGGTTGATGACTTAGTGAATCTTCATCGAATGAACAAGATGTATTACGCATCCCTGACCAGCGTCTACCAGGACGCGTGATATTTGCTTATGTAAGGAGTACGTTGGAAGAAAGCTAGGGAAAGAAAAATCAAAACTTGGAATCAGTTCAGAAAGTTATTGGCTGTTGAACTCGTAGAGGTAGATGAATACTAACGTTAGGGATTCTAAACCCCAAGAAATCACTTTATAAACTTCTTATTTTTGTAATCTTATTTTGAAAACTTGAATTTCACATTTCTGCGCCAAGAGCATCCATTTTTACCTTCAGGTTGTAGTTTACACTTAGAAGGACCTTAAGTGTCATTGGTTTCCTATTTTAATAAACTATTTTGTGACGTTTCCCAAGAACATTTTTATACTGTATATATATACGATCGAGTCGTATGTCTGTTCGTTCGTGCTCCCGACTGTTTGTGAAACATACCCTTCCCTCGGATGAATCTGGTCTTAGCAGGGCCGGAGAGCAGTGAAGAGTTTAGCTCGTCCTGTTGTCGTGTTGCTGACTTTTATTTTGTTTGCTGACTTAGGTAAATCGTAATCTCTCCAAACGTGGCAACTACGTTGTTAGGATTTGAACAATTATCGTAACTAATAGTTGGAAATGTCGCATGGCATAGCTCAGAATTGATCATAAAGGTGCATAATCATTCATTCTGTCTTGAAATACTCATACTTTTTATTCCGTTAATTCATTCTTTCTTCTTGAATCCTATTATCTATGCCTAATCTTTGATAAAACTAATTACACTATGACCACTTCTATTACTACTTCATTCATTTTAATAGTTTCATATAGGTGTGTCTATGTGGTATGGCAACTTGAACTGATATATATGCTAAGTTCCACACAGTATATTAATAACAGTCCATTTCTCTAAGCAAACCCTTTGCTCAAAATCCGATACTAATAAATAATAAGATTTTACTCACTTTCTCTTCTTTTGTTTCAGTTGATGATGCTGAAGGTTTTTCTTCTTTGACAGTTTCTAGTGGAGTATCTCTGTTTTAAAACAGAACAGTTAAATTAACTTGAATATTTAAATTACTGATCAACCGACGACTAATAGATTAAAACTTTAGAAACATTAACATAAGTATTTATGTAAACAATTGATTTTGAGTTCAATAATAATGATAAGTAGCCCGTTGCCTGAAATGTATCATTCCTTAATTTAAATGTACTCCCACAAAGCAAAAGGAAATATATTTACAATGAGGTTGAATACAATAAATTGTGTTATGAAAGTTGGTTTTTCGTAACGAAACCTATATTCAAATAATAAACTTTGATTACTTTTATCTAATAAATTAGAATTAAATTGCCCCATGAAACGACAGAACTACTTAATTTTAATCGTTGAAATATCTACAAATGTGGTTTGTTTTTGGTTGTGGTAATTTGTCGTTAAAAATTATTGGGTAAACAATAAGTAATTAAGTTTGTGCAGAAAGAATACTACTATCACATATCACCATTAAAGCCATTCAAATTTTATCAGTTGGAAGAAAAGACTTTTCCAGGATTGATTTATCTATGATAATGAACTGAGAATATTGTCAAAATCATCAATGCAATAAAATCTTACATATCCATCTTAACTTCTTTAGTTTGAGAATCTTTGCGAGTTTGTGCTCCACCGGTGGTTGTCGACTGTTGTTGTTCTTTGTGTTGTTTTCTATCAGCCTCCTTTTTACGTTGTTTAGCTGTGATACTTAAAATAGCTGTCTCTACTTTTTCACGTTTCTTTTCTTTTTCCTGTTCTGGAAATTCGAAGAGTAGAATAATTGCGAAAAACGTTAACAAATCAATATGACATGATTTATCATCGTTTTATAGAAAGTCTACAATGATAAGTGTGTCACTTTCAGTAAAGAATTATGGAGAGTATTGAATTTCAATGAGAACACGAACCGATTGATCGAACTTAGACTTGTACATTATTATATTCCAGTTCATTGGTCTACAGGTTAGGCGTTCGTGCGTAAGACCGTAGGTTCGACTTCCGGTTTCAGAGTAGCGGGTGTGCACTACTGATGAGTCCCATGCTAGAACTACACTGTTATACAGAGGTCCCAGGTTTTTAATAGTTGTCAAACTTGGATCATTTCCTGATTTTGATGACATAGTTTTGGGGATCCGGAAGTGAAAACCATATGTTGAAAAAATTGAATTGGCTACATATTCGTCACCATTGAATGATTGAATTCATACTATAAATAAATTTGAATTTCAGCTTCCAGACATCTATATCCACTTGTCAGTCTCCGCGTCTTGGATTCCAATGCTAGCCACATCCCATCTATTCTATACCAAGTAAAAATTTTATTCGATAATTGTATAAAATGAATTGGGCTTAAGTTAACCTGAATTATGCTTAACATCGAAATTTGCAGATAAACCAAATGTTAATAAGGATAATCCAAGTTCCAATCGGTCCGTAACACTGTTTGTTTATTTTCTTTTTAAAAAGGCAATATGATTATATGCATAGATGTGCATTAACAAGTATATGACTCTACCACTGATTATCTGCATTATAACCTAGTACTCAGATATATATTTATATATTAGGATCTGAGCTATGTATGTCTGTTATATGAAGTTTATAAATACAAGTCCAGGAAGATTTCGAACGCATTGATTGAAAAGTGGATGGATTAACTAAGGGACATTAGTTGGATACAGAACTTTATAGTTCCATAACGTATATGAACATTTGCTGAGATAATTTAAATATGATTCTCACACGTCTTTTGTTGTTCCATTATTAACAGAAATATACGTTAGATCACCACTTAAAACTGAAAAGCACTAAACAGCCGTTTCGTCCTAGCATGGGACTCTAGGAAAGTGCACCCACGACCACATCGTGGATTAAGCCCAGGACCTTCAGTCTCGTATGTGAACGCTTAGCTCTCAAACCACCGAGTCGAAATCCAATGGTGTATATGTTTAACTTTACAAAACCAACATACTAGAAATGTATGTGTTTAGAACGATTACCTTGTACCTAGTAGAATATCACAACTTATAGATATCAACTAAAATTACTCTGACTGGCTATATAAAGGATTACAAAATTCAGTCATACGCTCAATTCTAGAACAACTAATTAATTCTAGTCAGTCTACTTAAACAGAATCCTCCTTCAAAATTATTCATAAAGTCAGAAAAATCGGTCCGACAGGAATAAAAATGAAAGAGGTATGTACAGCAGAGGTTATAGTTATCCACAAATCCAACCCTAACTTTTTATGTACAAAAACAACGTATTCAATACCTTTTTCTACCATGGTCTTAACCTTTCTTTCTCCCTTCCATAACTTATCGTCTTCTTTACTTATTTTTAAATATTTTTAACAACTACTCATCATTAGTCGTTATTATAACTTTCAATTATTTTATTTAACTGCACAATTATCTTCACACTGATATTTTTCATTAGCCATTGGATTATTGTATATCCCGAAAGTTACCATTTATTATTCTCATCGGGATATAACTATATATATAGTCTAATTAAATGAAATTGCCGAAAAGAAAAAGTTTTCTTCGTTGAATTGTCATTTTTCTGTAATGACAGATAATAGTAAATATAACACAGGAAATAAATAAATAATCAGAATTTAACTAACGCAATGGTTGAGGATAAGCAAAAGTCGACGGTTTAGCATTTGAACGAAACTGTATCTTTGGCATATTCAAATCTTTATTCAATGCTATTAATGCAGTTGGTGTAAATGCTAAGCTGATAAAATTGGTTAATGGATGCCAAAACCAGAAATTCTGAAAGATTAAAAGACCGACAGCCGCTGCCATATTTGCATTGCCTACGTCATACAATATAGCAAATGAACAGAGAGAAAAAAATGTGAGAAGTTAATAACAAAATCAGTGTTGTAGATTTGACTTGATAATTTCAAATAAATTGAGCATTGGGTAGATTTTTATTAATAAAAATGATAGATTTTTAATATCTCAATAAGTAGAAAAATCAAATTTTCTGACATTTAGCAGCTCAGTGTAAGCTACTTCTTCAGAGAATAAATAAACAAACTAGTATGTATCAATTGTAATGCCTCTTATATTGGAGAGTCATCTCGTGAAATCTTGATATGAAGCACAGAACATCATAGGTGTATATAAAACAAACTACTTAATAATCCTGTAGAACTTGAAAAACTCTAAATTACATTGGCAATAACAGTGCATCGCATTCTCAACAACCATCAAGTCAATATTAAAATTATCCAAATAATACAAAAAGGTTTTTCCAACTACAAAGAAAGGTGAATAACTGAAGCTTTCTATATATTGCTAAATCCTACTACCCTCAATAGAAAAGGCCTTATTATTCATCCCACTTGGACTATCTACCCGAGTTACTACATCTGACTCTAGTCACATCTCACACTATTAACTTACATAGAAATTCAACTCGCATTAAAAATGTCACATTTTTCACCCACACACTAATAAACAAACATGTCTCACATAAATTACCGTAATGACATGACATTGACTTGGTCAGATATGTTTATTGATTGATTGTACAAAATATTTTTGCTTTGTTCCTTTGTACTATTTAAACTTGGACTAATTCAATCAGTTTATTTGTTTTCTGAACAAGTGGCTTACACAGAGTCGCGAAACGTCAGAAAATTTAATTTTTCCGCTTATTGGGATATTACAAATATATTATTATTATCAATAAAAATCAATGTTGTGATAAAAAACTACTACACAACACAATCAAACCTATTATACAACAATAAATTACAATATGCAGTATTTTTATCAATTCGATAATTCATGTTGAAATAAGTGGTATTGTTTCATTAAAGTTTTCAGGGAACTTTCAATGATTACACTGAGGAAGGAGTTACGCTATATCTTCCATTATTTCCTGAGTTAAAATAGCGTATGATACTTTTTTCACCAACTTAACTTATCTCATTTTATTTCTACAGTTTTAACCATTATAAATTTTAACTTTGCATCTTTTTACATTGTTAATTTTCCTTCATTGTATTAATATGAAGTTTGGCAGGTTGGGACGATGCACTTTATGTTAGATCCTATATTGTTGCTAGCTAACTGGATATTTCAGTTATAAATTTACTTCCAAATCCATATCAGCTGAAGAGTCATAAGAAATCGAATAGCCCTAAAGTTTTTTATTCTACTTCAATTAAAGTATTCAATCGCGATTAATCTTGGTATTACACTGGTGATCTCATACTTTAAACCAGGTATGTATTTTTGGGAACTGGTGTGCTTGATACCGGTACATAACAGTTTTTTTTTAATTCAGAGTGTGATAAAGGACAATACATTTTACTATGACAACATTTACTACAAAACAGTCGATTAGCAAGAAGTGCTATCACTGATTGAGTCCTAGAATGTGATATCTGCTTAATCAGGATTTATGATGACTATCAGTTAATTAGTCAATCCATCTGATGGTTATAGACTTGTGATAAAGAAGTAGAAGTCTTTTATCAACTACAATTAACCGAAAAGAACCTAAAATAATAATTGTGACACCGAATGGAGATAATCGAATATAATGATTTGAAATAAATTGGACGTACCCGTACGTGTTTGCAATGAAATAGTCATATTACATCCACCTGCATCTAAAATACCACATGCTATGATAGCACCGAATTTGGCCAATAAATCTTCATGACGATCCCCAATAATTTTCAACAATTTCTGACGGAAATCCACAGACTAAAAGAAAAGAACATTTAATTTCAATACCAAACCTTATTTATTACTCATGCGTTGAGCTAACTGTTTATCCACTTTCTCACTACTTAAAGTGTCAGTCTGAAATGATCTGTTACGCATTTCGAATAGTTAAGAGAACTTCGAAAGGTTATTTATTTAAGTTAACGCCACTCAATGATACAACATATAGTTAAAATGGTTGGAATCACAAAAAAAACGTATGAACTGTTGAATAATTAGAAAACCGTGGCCTCGTGGTGTAGCGGCTAGCACTCTGGACTTTGAATCCAGCGAAGAAGCAAACAAACAAGTGAAGAGGATCATTAGAGATGACGAGCAGAAATACGTGGAAGACCTAACAGCGACAGCAGGAAAAGCTACAAGAGAAGGAAATATGAAACAACCATATGACACAACGAAGAAACTAGCAGGGAAATATAGTAAACCAGAGAGACCGGTAAAGAACAAAGAGGGAAAAGATGGGTAGAACAATTCGAGGAACTCTTGAATAGATAAGCTCCGTTGAGTCCACCGGACATCGAAGCAGCACACAGACCTTCCTATAGATGTCACTCTACCAATGATCGAAGAAATCACCATGGCCGTCAGACAAATCAAGAGTGGGAAAACAACAGGACCTGACAATATACCACCGAAGTCAGATATAGAGGCAATCGCAAACATGCTTCACACTCTATTCAGGAAGATTTGGGGGAAGAACAAGTACCGACAGACTAGGAAGAATGATACCTCATCTAGATACCAAAAAAGATCTGGGCGACAGACTACGCTGCAAAGTCGTGCATAGAGGACAGCTGACAGATGCATTATTATACTCCATTAATTAAATAATGGTTGTCATATAAGCCATAAACAATGCTAAATCAGTAGAGACATTATTTAACTGTGATCTTAAGTCTGGTAAATCGCTATTGAGACATTAGTCTATATTGTGGTTCTGTAAGTTGATAAAATTTTCAAACAAAAGCTTACACTAAAACAATCCTTCAACAGGCAAATGCATCTTGGATGTAAGTATGAAATTTTCTAGAGTCGCAGGTGTAAAACTCCATAGACCTCCATGGATATGCTCTGATGAAGCGCACTAACCTTGAAGCTAAATGGGAATTTCACTAAGAATAACGTTTTATTACACCAGCTGCAAACAAATATCCGTGAATGATAAGGCAATATGAAAAGTAACAAAATTGACAATATATTAGTTTGGAAATAAGAGCACAATGAAATGACCATCTCTATGACTCATACCTTTGGGGAGGTAACCGCATTCTGCTGAATTAATACCATTGCATTAGCAATTAAGGCACCTTGGCGAACAAATGGCACTGTTCCTTCATGTAAAGTTTCTAATAAACTAACAGCTTCTTTAAGGGCTGTTCCCGCGCAGGCTATTCCTACAGCCATAGCAGCACCATATCGCAAATGAGGATGGTAGGATTCAACGAGTAAGGACACTAGTGATGGGACCTGCTCAGGATTTCTAAAAGGTAACAAAAAATGAGGGTTACGGTAAAATTAACTTCATTTTTAAGGTAGGAATGCTTAGTACAATGGCTTGCTGGGAAAGAAGACTAATGACAAATAACCGATAAGTATTCTGAGAAAACGGTTATACACAACATACTTGAATAGAACGAAACCAAGAGCTGTAACAGCCCATCGTCGGACGTCATCATTGGTGTCACTGACTGCAGCGTGGAGTAAACGTTTCACTGCCTGATTATTACCAGTCCCACAGTAAGCCATTGCAATTGTTGCCATACCAGACCAACGTAAAATGGGATCATTATCCTGTATTTTGAAGGAAAACAAACAGAAATAAGTTTTCATACAAAGAAGCGTTTGGAATAACCAATGATAGAGGTTGATTAAATAAATGACATTTTGAAAATCTGTCTACATGACGAAAACAATTGACAAATATGGAATAAAATTCTGACACATACTTATCCAAATTAAAAATTTCTTCATTTAGTAATAAAGACCATTAGGGGCTCTGCCCACTCGTTGAAACGATAAGTATCCAAACCAACCGTTTGCTGAATAACTGTTGATGTTAGATGAAACACACAGGATTCCTATCGATAAATTATGATTCTCAGGATAGTTAACGTCGATGGGAAGAACATATAGCATATATAGGAATAGTAGTCTCATCGTGAGATGAGTAGATTTAAGTAGTAAGGATTAAATGGCAACCTAGTAACATGATGGTAAAGCTCTTTTAACCACGATCTGTTGACTACACTGAGATCCTAAAGGAAAACAAAAAATTACTCATCATACTAGTGGATAGTTTCGTTAAAATAACGGTCCTCAGCCTGCATTACATATTTACGTCAACTAGATTTGCTTTTAGTTCGTTCGATGTCTTGACGTTTTTTTACTGCTAAAATGCAAATCTCACAACTACTGAGGAAATGAATAAAAACTCTGGTTTGTATGAATATATAATCTTACTAGGTCTTAAGACCCAGTTGCACAGTATGTGACATATTAGTGAGGTTAGAATAGGACACAGGCAAATTTTCCATAGAGGGCTCTAAGATTTTCCACGAACACTGGTTTGTCTAGGATTGTTGTGGAAATTTTGTTAGGGATTAGTGTAGAAATAATTAAAATCACCATCATAAAGTCTCTTGACAATATATTCGAAAATTAAGCCTGATACTCAAGGCTTAATTTCATTGGCGTATATGTGACCTACTAAATCTGTCTTACAATCCCTTATATAAAACAACACGTAATCATGCCTACTTTCGTGTTTAATAGTTTGTGAACAAACATGTCTGTTACAAGCAACAAAAAATTATCCTGCTACCCAGTTGTATTGTCCTTTGATATAATTTCATTCTGGAGCTCGTGTCAATAACATGACCTTGTGAGCAGTTGTAAGTTGACTGAACTGTATCACTGTGCAACAGCTATCGACCAACGGTTTTATTTACCATTTTAATTAAAATTTACCCAGTAAAAATTCAAAACTATCATTTACACAACACAGTGAATAAAAAACTTACAATAATTAGATTATCAATAAGTTCGTCAGCTTCTTCAACTCGACCGTACATGACAAGTGCAATGCCTAAAGCAACGCCACGTATAATCTTCTCATGTGCTGTTTCTTTAGCATAACCAAGTAGATCTTCAATAGCTCGTGTTGACCCAGTTCCTAACATGACTAAACCAATACCAATACCCGCTGCTTCACCTTGAGACAAACACAGTATGATAAATTAAAATAACAATAAATAAAGATACTAAATAAATCGGTTAATCAACTGAATCACGCTATGAGTAGAAGCCTTTTGCAAAAGCATAGATTAAATACATTCAATTATTGTTAAAAATATAGGAAAATAAAATAGTTCAGTTTTATGTAATAAAAGAAACAAAATTGTGATGTAAGTTTACTTGTTAATGAAATTAAGAAATAGGCTTCTATGGTTAGCATTCCTATAATCATGATATAACTCAGGATGTACGATAAATCATTGTGAAGAACTAACTGCATTAATGTTATTTGGTGCTAAGAACTGTGAATAATGTATAATTCACGTCGAATACAATAGAATGGAAAGAATAACAAAGAAAATATTTCAAACAAGCCTACCTGTAATTGCATCATCTTGATAAAGATTAAGTTTAATTTGATCATACACGTCCTCTCTACCGGTCCCCATAGCAGCTAAACCAAGGCCTAAACATGCACCATGCCTGACAGGTTCTGCAGTAGCCTCCTTGCATTGATTGAGCAAATATTCTGAAGAAATAAATAATATTTAACAGTCGTTATGGAAGAGTATAATTAAAAGATAGAGAGATAAACAACGTCGTGAAACATAGGATGAGTTCGCATCAGTACAAAAATGAACAAGGTTCACAGTACAGAGAGAAAAAACTAACATCAAGGGTAACAAAATTAATGACAAAAATGGTAGTGAAGAACCAAAATTACGAGGTAAAAACTGTCGATATAAAAAACCCTGGTAGAACCTATGAGTCAGAAGTATGAAATAATCTCGTGTTTAAAACTTTATGCAAAATAATGAGTGTATCTCCACCATTAAATATCGCAGATTATCATGGATATAAAGTGCCGTGAAAGACCAATATCAACAGATCGGGAATACAAGCTAAATAAAAATTAAATGACAAGCATTATGCAAGTAAAATATGTGAGACAATCTAATACAGCACAAAATAATTGAAACTCATTAGTACCAGAATAATTTATTCGCGAAAATACCCACCGGTATGTGTAAGTTAATAATCCAAGTATCCCAACCAAGGCCATATGAAAAAGCATTTATGAAAAAGTAGAAAACTAGTTACATAGATACAAATAGCTTATCTTATGAGCCAGTAAATGTTTACAAGGTACATAAGTTTGATACATGGTAAAATTTTACAGATGAAGATATTTTTACACAGAAAGTAATTAAAATGTCTTTCAAATATTTGTGATTACTTTCAAGAACTTACCTGTCATCGTTCCACCATGATTAGCATGAATCAAACCTAGAGCAAACAAACCACCACCTTCAGTGTACACGGAACCGGATGAACCGCTTGCATCTTTGGGCAAATAGGCAGACATAAGACGTAAAGCCTCTTTTTCATGACCTGAAAGGATAAACAACAGCAAAACATCAATCAGAAGTTATAACTATCAGTGAAAACTCGGACAAAATATCAGTCAATCTTATCAGTACTGAAATCAATGTTTATTATTATCCCGGTAGGTACACTCCCATAAATGGAAAATAATAAAATATTTACCTTTGTGTATAACCCCAAGAGTAGCAGTAGCAGTAAATTTAGCCCAATTTACAGCTTTTCCTAACCAATTTAAATGATCCCTTAAAAACTGATCTGATGTTGTTCCACAATGCATAATACCATTTGCAATAACTGTAGCATTATGCGTCACCGAATGTCGTACCTCATCACGTATGCGTTCAAGTAGTCGAAGGTCAGCTTTGTTATTTCGTATCAAAAACTGAAGGTGCAATTCAATTACCTAAATATAAGAAAATCAAATTTTTAAGTAGCTAAGACAATATCTACGAATGACTATAGTAATGAAAAAGCGTGCATCCACAGTGTACGTTGGAATGGTAAAGTTAAATTATACACTCGTACTTTACCATAGTATGATCATTTTTTCAATATCCGTGCGCTCGATTATATAGGTAACTCAGTACATGGATCGTTATTGTCATACAAACCTGTCATATGATATCTAGTAATGCCACTCCGTTACACAAGCGAACATGACATGCGATCAAACCAATTGATTTGAAAATTACTTGGTGGCTGTTTTAATATTGCTTTAGATCAGTGACGTTGATCTGAGTTAAGATAAATATAAAATACTGCTCTTAAGTACTGTCTACTAAGTGAAGAAAATCACCACCTGGTCAAAGTAAAACTGGTTTATTGTGTAGAAACGAATACTGAAAGTGACGGCTTTTTGTCGAGTTCGACCATTCGAAACACACTTAATGGCCAACGTTTGAAGATGTTTTACGACAAACCAGTCATGATAAAATCACAGGTGCATGAAATCTGCTTTCGTTCAGTTTCGTGCAACACATAATCAATAGGAGGGAATATCAAAGAACTTAATATAATGAAAATGTACACAAATTATGCATCTAAAGTGGTTTAGTTTATAAAACATATTCGCTAACTAGAATTATTATAAAAATTCGTTCCTACTTTCGAAATACATCTTGTTGGTACGTTTGTGCTGAAGAGCCTTAGGATAATACATCCTTGATTTTATCCGTCAACGCATATAAATACTTGTATAAATCAGTTGAAAATTGAAGAATCTGGATGTTATTAAGAGAGTTACAAAAAGGTCGAGTGGAGTTTAAAGCTTAGTATATCCGTTCACCATAGTGTGGTTAATGAGTTTATTATATTTATTTGAACACATAAATATTGGTACAAGAGGGCACCAAACATGTATACGCCACACAAAACAATGAGAATAGGAAGATAAAAAGAAGGTAAGGCGAATATAAGGAAAAAACAAAAACGACCACAAATTAGTGTGTGGTAGTGTAATAATAATAATAATAATAATAATAATAATAATAATAATAATAATAATAATAATAATAATAACAATAATAATAATAATAATAATAATAATAATAATAATAATAATAATAATAATGATAATAATAATAATGGGGGAAACGGAAAGGTACAACCAGAAAGAATTCTTACAGATAAAAAAGTTACGTCTATTTTCTACGAAACAAGTAAACGAAGTTACAGCAGGATCGCCACTGGTTTCTATTCTAAGCCATGTCTGATAACGTCTCTAGCCACTGTGTAGCACCATCTCTCGGACCCCAAACAGGGAGTCGTGAAGAACCAACAAAAGCCAGCCCTTTGCAGCTTTCTTTCATCCCACGACATGTCATACACTGACCACCTCTCCGCATTTTCCAACCAGTCCCAGAGTCGGCAAATAATGCACGACGCGGGATTCTCTGGGACGACATTCATAGAACATGTCCAAGCCACCGAAGTCGGTGTTTCAAGATGGTGACACCTATTGCATTATCGTCTCTGTACCCGAACACACGATGCCGAACCTCTGCATTACTAACATGGTGTTGCCATTGGATGTCAGCAATCCTTCGGAGACAGCGATGATCGAACACAGAGAGTCGTCTAACGTCCTCAACTCCGAAAGGCCAGGCTTCACAAGCATAGAGCAAAACGGCTCTCACCGACGCGTTGTAGATCCGATCATTTACAGCCAGAGTGACATCACGAAGGCGCCAAAGATGGCCCAGATTGGCATAAGCCGCTCTGGCTTTCACTATACGTGTATTGATCTTATCACTCACGCCACCACCAACACTTATGCAGCTACCTAGATACATGAACTTCTCGACTACTTCTATCTGCTCACCATCCAGGGTGAGTACAGGATTAGAATCCTGCCAGTCTCGTAGAAGTAATTTGCACTTCGAAGGTGCAAAGTACACACCGTACCTACGGACACTGATTGCCAACTGATTAAGTGCGGATTGCATGGCTTGGGCATTATCGCACAGTAAGACAATATCGTCCGCATACTCAAGGTCGAGAAGTCTTTCTCCAGGCAACAGATCCACACCGCCATTACTTACATCCATCAGAGCTGTTTCCAGAATGTCATCGATGGAAAAGTTGAAGAGGAATGGTGAGATTGGGCAACCCTGTCTTACCCCACTACTTGAATGGAACAATGGAGAAAGTTGATTGTATGCCCTCACTCAACTTGAAGTGTTTGTATATAGGGCCTTTAAGATGTTAATGAACTTCTCAGACACACCCTTCAATAGAAAATCTCAGAGAACAATCCTGTCCAACGAATCGAAGGCAGCCCTGATGTCAAGAAACACCACGATTGTTGGTCTTTGATAAGTATGGCGGTGTTCTAACATTTGGCGGAGGGTGAAGATATGATCAATAAATCGTCGACCAGAACGAAAACCAGCCTGCTCCTCGCGAGCCAATCTTTCTCGGTTTTGAAGAACCTACGAAGTATGACGGAAGCCAATAGTTTGGACGCAATCGGAAGTAGACTTATCCCCCGATAGTTGTCATGGGAACGTGAACCGTTTTTAAAGATAGGGACAACTATTGACTTATTCCATGACGTTGGTACACTCTAGTTCCCAGAACTTTGCAAACAACACGGTAAGTTTCCTAATCAGAAAGTCATCACCATCTTTAGAAAGAGCCGGAGGTAAGTCATCTGGGCCCGGTGATTTGTAGCGCTTCAAGAGTTGGAGTTCTTTGCGGACTTCCGCCTCATTTGATGGATCAGTCGACGATATTTACGATATTTACTGAAATACTATTCACGCTTCGATTAACGGTTAGTGAGTGCTTGAAACCACTCCCATCAATAAGAAATATTTACACAAAAATAATGGCAGTTCAAAAAACATTTTGCGATGATAAACATAAGAAAAAGGATATACTCTTCGCGTCGACTGACAACCCCTATTTAGTCAGTACAATACACATTACCATTTTATCAAACTAAATACTTTCTAACAATAAATTAGCTATCTAATAATATAATAAAACCAATTATGTACGATTCCGATGCTTACTTTATCTCCTGATAAAATACTGACCAAGTGCATAAGACGATTCTTAATTTCTTTATCTAATTCTGACAGCGGTTCATCTGCAGGTATTTCAGCCTCTTTGTTTGTTTCGCTAGCTAATGCAGTTTCCACTGCTTCTTCTGCTTCCTTGTTGTCTGATTTATTTTTATCGCCGTCTGTAGTTTCAACGGTGGTACAAGCTGAACCCTCCGGCGTTTTTGAACTTTTTGCAGCGTTTTTATCACGTTCAATTAAGCTCATTACATGACTCAACTTTGAGCTCCGGGCAAGAGAGGCTGAAACACGTTGAAGAAAGTTCTGGGTTGCATTTTCATACAAATCAAAACCTATTTGATATGCTGTTACGGCTGCCTCTTGTGATTGTAGTAACAAGTGTTCCAGAGTATCTGCTGTGGCCTGAAATGAGAGTAAATATATACCACTTAGTGTATTTATCTGTAAATAATGAAATGAAAAATTTGAGGAACCAGGAAGGCTAGTGAAAGTATGTCTTTACCAACCACAATAAATTACCACATTTTAATGAAATTATGATACATCAGCGCTTTTGATCACATATGAAAATACCACATTACATGATAACATACAAATTATGATGTGAAGGTGGAATTCCACTCAATGATCAGTATATTTACTGACCAATGACAAAAGAAGGACAATTATTTTCCTTACGAATTTCAACAAGAATGTTCTCAAACTGTTAAAATAATGAATGACATGAAAACTGACTAAATTTATATAATCAAAATCAAATGGTATTTGGTTCTTAAAGTTAATCTTTTAACTAAAATTTTCCTGAACCAACAGAATAAAATGGTCAACAAGTCACATGCAACACAGAACCTGGTAGATTTATTTTAAGTTGTCACAATAAATCAGAACAACGGGATTTCAGAGTAGTATAAGTAGTAACAGGATTTGTGGTAGAAAAGGTCAGGGATAAAAACTATGGTTCGAAACAGTATGAATTCGTAGAACAAAATAACTTTTAAGATGATTAATAAATTCAAGATCTAAGTGTACACAAAGAGTGAACACAACTGTACCATTGCGAGCAATATTGATCCATGTCACCTGAAGTCCATAAACACCAGTTACAATAGTTACGAGAACCACAACCAGATAATCTGAATCTAAATACATGGCTCAGTTCGACAGTTGATGATTTCATGGACTGACATCAAGTTTTGGCTTGGTTGCTCGAAAATTCCTCCCAGCACCCAAATGTCTTGGTACGGCCGAGAGTGAGGAGAGTCAGCTCTCCCGCTCGAAATGCTCTCACACGGCCACGCGTATACAGCCACTACCACGGACGTCCCACTCACTGCCTTCTCGCAGCGGTGTCCTTTACCAAATTGAGTGGACAAAAAGCGAATATTCGGCGCTTTAACCGGATCACTGGACACGGAGAGTCCACCTGGGGAAGTTGGAAAACCCTGATTCCAAACAAATGGTGCACAACGATCCAGTATCCTGAAGGAACAAATGGAGTATAAACCAATTGTTGGTCACCGGCTATCACGGGACTGTCTCTCCTGACGTTGCCCCATTACCTTGTGGATCAGACCTTTAGGCCGAAGGCTCCGGGTGTGGCCATCTAAGAAAACCACCTGCTTCGGTTTGGGTACCCGGGCAGTACCACAGCACACACACAAATCAAGTGACTTGTGTGTCGCATATGTATTCGGTGTCTCGTACCAATGTTTATGTGCTTAAATAAATAAAAAAATACCAGCTATCAACTCCCATCAAGTTCATATTTAACGTATTTATGAACCTCTTAAAAAGATTTTAGGTCTTTTGGTTCGATTTAGGATGATGAGTTATCACATCTTTCAAATGTGTGTGAATGTATATTCTTCATCGACTATTGATATGTTCCATTCGAGCCACAATTAAGCCCTAGATAAAAAAATAGCAATTAATGACGCGCAATCTGACTCCATATGATCGGAAGATGATGTTAACGAAATATATATCCCGCTTGAACCTTTACATACTCATCGACTTGGTTTACATTAATGAATAACAGAACAGGTCAAATACGAGAATGGTTTTTGGATACGTATATTTCATACATTTACTGACCCAGATAACGAGAAAAGAAGCCGGATTGGAAAAGTCAAACGTACAAACTCAATTTAATAAAATGTGAATAAATATTTTAAGTCAGACCGAAAAACAAGCTTAAGACATGACAGAAAAAGATAAACATTCACGCATATACGATCAGATAAGAACAATGAAGATAACAGATGAATAACCGACGAGGTCAAATATATGTGTAGATTATGACTAAGAAAGATCAGGTTGATTGGTATGTCTAAAATCTAGAGTAATCTACGTTGGCGTGAAATAGTATTAAATGGTACACTATCGCTTGATTCATCATCGTTAATGCATAGGTTCATAATCGTTATTCTTAATGTTATTCTCTTCCTTTTCAGTGATATATCTGTGAATGGCTTAGTTGAAGTACCTTAATGGTCAAAGTACAAGACTTCCAACTAACATGTTTTAAATTCAGACCCTCCTGACCTACTTTGGTTTAGATACTCAGGTAATACCGTTAGCTACGTATAGAAACTTACGCTAGATAAATTAGCTGACAATCTTTAAAAAACAATATTTCATGGAACATTCTAACGTAACAAATGAAAGAAATATTTTAAAATTGACGAACCTGTGGGTCATCCATTAGTACTAAGCATTGACAAACATTTACAGCATCGGAGGGAAGAGCTCGGTTCATATAAACAGAAACTAAGATTTTAAGAAGACGATTTCTCAGGCGTACACTATCGATTAAAGTGAGCACAACACGAAAAGCATAGCGAAGCATGCCCTCTTGATCATCCGACGAAATTATCGCCTTCTCAAATATGTCCAACCTGAAAAAATGATATTTTATTCACTTAAAATATTTCATCCCAGTACAAAAGTGGCAAACAGTTGAAAATATGCGAGTGACAAAGAGCAAATACTCAACTCGATGAGTTGGATCAGAACTTCAACACCATGTTACATGGGCGATTTTGGATGGAATAAAAGTAGCTGGATGTCGGAAAAAATTAATATACTCTTTGAGTACCTAAATTACCACGTTGTGTTAGTATACCGAAAGCCAATTGATGGTGACCTACACACATTACAGATTAGAAATGAAGACTAAAGAAGAGCTATCTTTCCGTTATATTTGAAGCCCGAATGGAGGAGATATGGTCCAAACCTCATAGCACATCCACCACTAATGAGTAATTACTACTTTTCATCCCAAATGAACAACTTTCCTATCTGTATTAATGAGTTTGTAGGTGTCATTACCAAGGTTTGATTTGATAATTTCGAATAAATTGAGCATTGGGTTGATTGTTATAAATAAAAATAATATATTTGTAATATCCCAATGAGTAGAAAATAGGATTTTCTGACGTTTCGTGGCTTAGTGTAAGTCACTTCTTCAGAGAATAAAAACCAAATTGTATTTATTCTCTGAAGAAGTGACTTACACTAAGCCACGAAACGTCAGAAAATCCTATTTTCTACTCATTGGGATATTACAAATATATTATTTTTATTTATAACTTTCCTATCTATTTAAAGTGTGGGTGAGACTATAAATAATGGACGACCTCCGGGCTACGCTAGAAAGACCTTGAGAATCTCTATCTACATACTACGGCTAAATGAAGGTCATAAACGGGTGTAATTAGGACTAATATTTACGGTTGATAGTTAGGGTTATGAAGTAGATTTGAGGTTTACATCACGAACTGACATCAGCTATAATGTCAAAACTCTGTTTAGCCAAGTGAATGAATTAGTTTCGCGAAAAATTCCAAGACCTGTTGTCTTAAACGGGATTGATTCGTCCATAAATTATAGTCTCGCTAAAATCTGTTTATGTGTAAACCTGTGTGGGCAGTAAAACGTAACCATTTAGTGCCATAATCCCCTTTACTAACCACTGTACGTCATCGGAGTCTGTTTACCTTAACTTATTGAACAGTAATCACGTAAAAGCATGGATTCCATAGGATTATATACGTTTATAATCGAATAGACAAAATAACAGAAAGATCTCAGTTGATATAGGAAATCGACCTAGAAAACAGATAGCCTAAAGGACTCCGACAATGACTTGAAAGTATGGAAATTTAATTGAATACGGTGATACACACAGTTTAGTCCGCAGGTTGAAGCGAAATAGTTGGCTGGCTTCCGCGGCAATGCGCCCAAAGATATCGTTCACAAACGACTTCATGATTGACATTGCCTTCGACGAGATACCAGTGTCAGGATGAACTTGGCAAACTTTATAGATGTAGATAGCATAACTCTTTCCTCCTTCTCTTCTTCCTCTTATCGACCTTCGGCAGCTTAGCCTTCGAGACTTTCTTCGCGACCTTACTAGACACAAATTTATGAGGCATCACTTTGTAGACGAACGCGTTTGGTGGATGGTTATCATTATGTAAAAAACACTGATGGGATTACACCAAAAACACACCTCCGAGTTTCAATAGCTATCCCCAGGGCTTGTTTATACTGTTTGTGATCAAAGCAACGGTCAAACATTTGGTTGACAACGTGTTCTAGTCTTTTGTATGTTGGACTAGTAACAGACCAAGTACTGTCGTCTGAATTTTCTGTTACAACGGAACCGGACGAATCCACAAGCTGATCTTGAGCAGTTCGAAGAGCGGTATACTTATCAATACATTTAGCTATACAGTTGTAATTAGTACTTGTTAGTTACCAATAATGGTTTCCACAAATTCGGTATTCGCATTTAGATCGAAAAGCTCTTCAGCGCATAAAGCATAGTGAAGTGCATCATCATAGACAGCTAGATGATAATAAACTTTGGACACAAGTAAAGCAGCAAGTTTGTTATATTCAAAATTAGAGTCTTCATGAAGTATTTCAATTTTCATTACTGCTTCTGAGATTTCAGCCCAAAACTCGTCAACCATATCATAGAGACGTTTTAGAGCAAATGCCTGAAATGAGAATAAGTGAAACAAATAGGTTGATTTTACTTTGACATCAGAACCCTTGTCGTCCAAAAGAGAAACAAGTCCAGCAGCAGAAGTCAGTGCCATTGCAGTCCGTGACTAATCAAAGTAACGTCAGCTTTGAATGACACGCCTCGGTCTCCCAAGGTGCTAAAAGCCAAGAGACTTACATTACTGCTCAAAATTTATGTTACTGCGATTATGAACTTTTTCTAATCCCATACAGGATGGAAAAGCTTCATTAAGTTACGCCCGAGTAAATGATACGAAAGTATATGAACTTCGCTCTCTGGACATTATGGGAAAATTCTCTCCGATGGTCAGCTGTAGATGGAAGAAATTAGGAAAATGAGATAATGTCAAAATCATCATCCACCAGAAATTAAGTCATTGCCTGATTACCTCCTAATTGATGCAAGCCGGAGGGAATGAGTCATGTCGTAGTATACTATTATACGATACCTCAGAAAGGTGTTTCATCAATTTCGTCTGTTTTCACTAAATCCACTCCAATACAACTGCCTGATATTTAAACTCACAACTACAAATGCCCTGGATTGTTCTGAACGCATCTCTACCCAACATCAGAAATATTAGACCAGCTGTCCATAATTCCTAAAGCCTTTAGAAGATGCCGTCATGCTCTCACCTATGCTTATTCAAACAATACTTGCTGTATTTTCGTAGCCCCTATAAATGCTAGTTGCACACTCCTGAATTTGATAGGAATACAAAATACTAAAAACATCACCTGGAGGATCCCACTCTTCACATATTTCAGTGAGACTAAAATATGACCTACTGACAAGCCTAAAAACCACCACTTTCGCTCTAAGTTAAAGTGAGGAACTTTTAGAAGACTTTTCAGTCACCTGTGATTCACAAATCTACAGAGACTCTTGACTTAAGTTTTTTACTATGTTGCACTTTTAAATACAGTGGTTACTTCTAAATTTAGTGAAATTTCCGCCCGCTAAAGTGTTTAATGCCGTTTCACCCAGTTCTGCAGTCAGAGACGTTACCACTAAGCTGTCTGTGTCGCGACTGACCTCCTGTAGGGCTGAAATGCATTTACAGTTGATTGATCACTGGATGGTGCTGAAAGTATCCAACTGCTTAATGACTGTAATGTGGAATATAATAAACTTCACTCTCCTTTGCATATATTTAGTTCACTCAGACTTCGCAATTATTCACTCATAACTTTGATCGTACACATCCTCAGCTTCACGCTATTTTTGTTTGTCATTTTGGAAATTTCACTCTGGAAACCTAATAGTTCAAGGTCTATTGTGCATTTGCTATGACTATGACTAGAACAATACATTTCGGTTGGTTCCTTATAGTTTACGAGTAGCCGTTTGGTATTCGAATTGGATTTTTGATACTTGGTTCGTAAGCTACAAGCATATCAGTCAACTGTGCTTCAATAACGTACTAAAGCAAAATGTACGCGCAACAGTGTGGGAATCTGTGGTGTTTGAATGAACTAATGATACCTTTGTACTTCTTGAATGCTTGATTTCGAATTCTAAATACAATACATTCGTTTGTGCCTGTGTCTTCTTAATTGAATTGCGTTAATCCTGTAATTCCTAGTTCATACGACAATTAAAATACCATATTGGTGTCGCAATGGAGCCTGCAATGGAAAAGTTAGATATTCATTCAACTCCTGAAGCTTTTGAGGATTACTTGGAAAGGTTCGAAATCTGGAGCATGACCAAGAAAGATGTTAAGGGTGATAAAATTGTGGCACATTTTCTGACATTCATTGGGAGAGAAGCGTACAGCCTATTAAAAACTTTGGCATATGCAGAAAAACCTATCTCACTCCCTTATGCAACTCTTAAAGAACTATTATTAAGTCATGTAAAATGCACCAGTTTTGAATGCCGTGAAAGGGCGAAGTTTCATAAGATGGTTCGTCAAAATGACCAAAAGGCTCGGGAATTCATCCTTGAATTACAGAAACAAGCTGCCAAGTGTAATTTCGGTGATCAACTTCATGCGCAATTTAGAGATCGATTAATTGCAGGAAGTAACATACCGAGTTTGGAAAGAGAGCTGTTAAAAATGCCAAACTGTTCCTTTCAAGATGCTAGAACTGAATGTATGAACTACGAAGCAGTCAATCAACTTGATATCCAGTCGATGAAGATTTCTAATACTTTGCTTAGTCGTCGTGATGAACTACAATCTCAGGGTCAATCAAACTTGCGTTCATTTAACAGTGATTCCTATTCTCGTGTAAATATGAAAGGTGTTTCAACGAGAAATTACAAAGCAAATCACAAAGGTGAGATGAAGTTTGGTAAATGTTTATCATGTGGAAAGTTTCATGCTCGCAATTCATGTGTATTTCGTAATGCCAAATGTTTTAAATGTGGTAAGGTAGGACACATTCAGTCGGTATGCAAAGCTACTGTCCATTTTGCTTCAAGCTGTACTAAATCTTGTAATTTAAATTCCAATAATTCGAATGTTTCTAGTGATCATTTGTCTTTGTCTACTATTTCGAAAGGTAATGTTCATATTCAGAAGCGACTATATACATCGCTTGGTTCATTTCATGACTTTATTCTGGACACAGTCAGTATAGAGTCCATTATTTCATTCAAGAACTTGAAAGCTTTAGATCCTAACGTTGTTGTACGACCCACTGAAGTATCAATACTGGGGATTACTGGACACAGACTGCCCATACGAGTATGTTGTGAATTGCTAATCAGAGATGTTAATTCTTCATACATACCTTGTGAATTTTTAGTTAGCGAAACAGGACTGTCAATATTGGGTTTAAAGAATTTGAAAAGGCTTAAGGTGGAGTTGTCCTTCTTAGTTTCTACAGAAAATTCTGATACTTTACTTAAAGATTTGATAGCTATGTGTGCTAAGCGCAGTGGAGGTATGAAAATTAAGCCTATAAAACTTCAAGTACAGGGTGATCCCGTCTTTCTTAAAAGACGAATAATTCCTTATGGTCTTCGAGAAGCAGTACATAAGAAATTAAACGATTTGTGTGTGAAAGGCATAATTGAACCAGTTCAGTCTTCAGCATGGGGTACTCCTATCGTTACGCCACTGAAGTCGGACGGCAAGACCCCTAGAATTTGTGGTGACTATAGATTAACTCTGAATTCCCGTTTGTTGAAGCAAACGTGCACGACGGTGGAAGCTGAAGATATTCTAAATCGACTTCATGGTTCTAAAGTGTTCTCGAAAGTTGACCGAAAAGATGCTTATCTTCAAATTCCTTTACATGAATCTTCACCTATTTTGACGACAATTAACACTCCTTTTGGTCTGTTCAAATACAATTTCCTTCCATTCGGTCTAAGTTGTTCTCCAGCCATATTTCAGGAAGTCATGAATAAAGTAGTTAGTGATCTTGAAGGTGTTGAAGTTTATCAAGATGATTTCATTGTTCATGGCTCTAATAAGGTAGTTCATGGCCAGAGACTTATTGCTTTATTGCGTCGTTTAGTTGAGAAGAATATTACAGTGAATCCAAATAAGTGTTCATTTAGTGTATCTAGTTTTGAATGCCTTGGATACCTAGTTGATGGTAATGGTTTTAGACCAGATATGAAACTAGCTCCACTGACTAATGCACCGTCTCCGAAAAATCTTACAGAATTACGTTCACTAGTGGGTGCTCTTCAATACTATTCCCGTTTTATTCCTAATTTTTCTTGTCGTGCAAATTGTTTATTTAATATTTTAACATCCGATTCATTCAAATTGAGTGAGGAACAAGAGTCATGCTTACGAAGTCTGCTGAAGTTTCTTCAAAGTGATGCTGTTCTTCGAACGTACTCCCTTAATGTACATTCTGTGCTTATTACTGATGCATCACTTGTGGGAATTGGTGCAGTTTTGGAACAGGAAGGTAGACCAGTTATTTGTGTTTCACGCAAACTTACTGTTACTGAACAAGGTTATTCACAGACTCAGCGGGAAGCATTAGCTGTGTTTTGGGTTGTTAAAAGACTTCATAAATATTTATTCGGAAAGAAATTTACTATTGTTACTGGTCATGAAGCTTTAAAGTTTATTTATCATCCCGAAAAATCCTTAGCACGTTCCTCAGCAGCTATGGTTCAGCGATGGCGTATTGCTTTGAGTGCATATGACTATACAGTTCAGCACAGAAGTGCCAAACAGATTCAACATGTTGATTACATTTCTCGACAGTCATTACAAGATAAACCTGTTAATACTTCGGATTGTTTGCAACCTTTACCAGTGAGACGTTCAGATCTCATTAGAGAAACTCGTAGATATTTTGGATGTATACTCAGTGCTATAAGGAAAGGTTGGAATGCTAATTTGAAGCGGAGATTTCCTATCTATTTTTCAAAGCGGGATGAGCTATCTACTACTCCTGATGGTATACTGTGTTTAAATGATCGTGTTGTCATTCCTCCTTCATTGCGTAAATCTGTTCTTGTAGATCTTTATAGTGGTCATTTAGGTGATGACAAAATGAAGTCCTTGGCAAGGCTCACATGTTGGTGACCAGAGATAAATGCAGATATATGTCGTACGGCAAACAATTGTGAGAAATGTCATCAGTTGAAAAATCATCTTTCGAAGTAGGTGCCATGGCCAGCATCGTCTGAGGCCTGGCAGAGGATTCATGCTGACTATTGTGGACCATTTCTTGGTAAATACTACGCACTAGTAGTCATTGATTCTTTTTCAAAGTGGCCTGAAGTTTTTTCACAACCACCAAATTCTGATTTCACAATACAAGCATTAAGAAAGGTGTTTAGTCGAGAAGGGTTTCCCTTGGTGTTGGTGACTGATAACGGCTCAAATTTTGCTGCAGATGCAGTCACTACCTGGTTGAATGGTATAGGGTGCAAACATCTATTTACTGCTCCCAGACATCCGTGTTCTAATGGTCAGGCAGAGAATTTTGTTAGGACATTAAAGACTGCTATTAATTCTATAGCCCCCTCAACATTTAATGAGCTGGAGAGGGGAGTAGATACCTTTCTATTGCAATATAGAAATGCCAAACATTCGGTGACGAAGGAGACTCCAGCGAAGCTATTGAAAGGAAGAATTCTTCGGTCGAATATGAGATGTTTGGAGTCTGCAGAAGTTACATACTATCG